TTCGGTGCCCTCCCCCCTCCAAAAAGATGAATGGAAGAAACTCTGGTCTTACAGTCCGCCTTAGGTAGCAAAGACCCTAGCTACGGTAACCCTTAATACAACCCCATATCTATCCCAAATACATGGCCAACACATTGAGTTGCTGTCTCCAGCTAGCGTTCATCATCTACCCGGATACCGAACTCAGGACTTTTGGAGTTAACACTTCAATAATGTACACAGTCGCCGCATCTAATATAACACAAAAAAATATATAAGGCTACCACCCTTTTCCCTCATCTTTTACTACAAGACATCTAAAATGACACCACTTCAGTTTACAAAGAATATGCCTATAAATTTTGACGTGAATTTAAAAAATAAAAGCACAAAACAAAGAGACCGTCTAGCAAAAGCGTGAAGTATGCCCTAGCCCTATGCTTGTATAAATGTGTGAAAAACTGAACCAAACCTGAACCACCTTCTAGCAACAACTACACTAGCAAAATATACATTGGCAAAACCTGCTAGATCTAGATCTGAATGTTAAAAAAAAAAAAAAAACAAACAAACAAACAAACAAACAAACAAACAAACAAACAAACAAACAAACAACCCTCATCGATTTTTAATGTATCGTGTTAATACTAATAGAAATAGATCTGGATATCTCTATAAATATGTAACTTCTTTTTACCCACCACAACTGTCTATAATGTTAATTAAGGCAAATAGGGTATGAAATCGCACACACCAATCACAATTCATTTTGATAGACGCATACCTAAAAAAAAGAATTAGGCCCTAGCCAAAGGCGTAGCGAGGGGGGGGGGGCAAACGTCCCCGGGCGCCGACCTTAGGGGCGCCAAAATGGTTTGGAAAAATAAATTGAAAGGTTGAGAGGGGGTGCAAATCGAAAGTTTGAGGGGGGGGGGGGCTGTAAATCGAAATCTGGAGGAGGGGGTGCAAATCAAAAGTTAGTCCCCGGGCGCCGGGAAGGGTCGCTACGCCTCTGGCCCTAGCCTAAGTGGAAGCAATATTATTAGCCTATAGTCACAATGTTTGAATTTTTAAATAAACCGGGAGTGATCTCCCCTAAACTTTCTCGTATATTCTTATATAAAATAACAGGGGATGGGAACTCGGGCTATAGACATTATTTTTAATCCATTTTAAATACTTAAAGTTTTAAAAATAGAATAAAATCTCGTAGACAAATTAATTGCACACCAAGTGAACGCCAAATAAAAAAGCGCATAATAGTGCGCAATATTATTAGTACTTTTAAAATTTACATTAGTTTTTTGAGAAATCGGAAGTAGCGTGAATTACTACTTCCAGTCAACGGAAATTACTCAAAATTTAACAGACGGTAGAGAATTAGATCTTTTACTTACATGTGAAATTTCATTTATCTATCTGAAATAGTACTCAAGTTATAGGCTTTTGAAAAATTCAAAGTAGGAAAAGTACCACTTCCGGTTATCGGAAATCGCTCAAAAGTTGATACGGATCTACGATTTTGATAAAATACTTATATATGAAATTTCATCAACCTAGCTGTAACGGTACTCAAGTTATCGTGTTTACACACGGACACACAGACAGACAGACACACAGACAGACACACAGACATACGGACAAGATTGCAAAATTATGTTTTTCCGTATCAGTGAGGTGTAAAACGTCGAGATTTGTAAAAATCTCGATTTTTTTTTTTTTTTGCACGATTACAAGACTTTCTCTATACTTCGTATATACGAGAAAGTAAAAAAAAATCAACAACGCTGTTTAAACAATTCGATAGTAAAACTTTCGAATTATTTTCGCGTTATTTAAAAAATGCGAAGTATAATATATTACTGACTATAAATAGATCTAGATTCTAGTAGTACTTAGGCTATTATTACTATTACGAGAAAAATGGCCCGTTGAGGAAGGATACACCGGGCGCTAGGCTGATAGTGCTGTCTCTTTTCTCTAAACTAAAACCACCCCAGCCCCCCCCCCCCCACACACCACCCCCCCCCCCCACAACCCCCACCCACCCCACACCCCCCCCACACCCCCCCACCCCCACCCCCCCCCCCCCCACACCACCCCCACCCCCCCCCCCCCCCCCCCACACCCCCACCCCCCGAAAAACATGTATACCGTCCCATTCAACGAAATATAATTATATACTTTTTCCAGTGTCCGCCCCCTCCCCGAAAATTCTACCCCCACCCCCGAAAATTTCAAGTACCCCCCACCACTCTCCGGGGAGGAAAAAGTCTAAATTAAAACCACCCCCCCACTCACCCCCCTACCCCCCCCACCCCCCCCCCCCCCCTCTAAAAAAACATGTCTACCGTCCCATTCAACGAAATATAATTATATACTTTTTCCAGTGTCCGCCCCCTCCCCGAAAATTCTACCCCCGCCCCCGAAAATTTCAAGTACCCCCCACCCCTCTCCGGGGAGGAAAAAGTCTGAAAGAAACACTGGTGTCGCGCTTAGCCACTACGCGAAGAATTGCATTAAAGAAATTGCGAGAAAACCACTTTTTAGATTAGACACATTAATTAGGCGGTAATTTTATTATAGAGTATCGATGAGGAAATTTCTTTTGAGATGGGGAGGGGGGGGGGCTCAGACGTTCTTACGCGGGGGGGTGGGGCTTCGCCCCTACTCGAAGAATTCTATGCAAGAAACTCTTCACGCAAACCATTTAGATTAGACAACATTTCCTTTTTTTCAATGTTTACGGGAGAATCAATGACGTCATTACATTACTGTGTGCACTCTCTGGTTTGAGATTATGTTCTACTCTACGCTAAATGTGTCGACGTCATATTTCGTTTTTCGAATTACTGTGCAGGTTTTTAAATTCCTTGTGTTTTCTCTAGAGCGTTCTTGTCAGACAGATAGATAGATAGATAGATAGATAGATAGATAGATAGATAGATAGATAGATAGATAGATAGATAGATAGATAGATAGATAGATAGATAGATAGATAGATAGATAGATAGATAGATAGATAGATAGATAGATAGAGAGACAGCGAAACTATTATTATTATTATAGATACTAAAAGTAAAAGGATCAACTAAAACTTGTGATCTAGAAATCTAGACCGAAAGATAAATATTTAAAACGATGTGTGCATATTTTATGTTGAAGTACATCTAAGAACCTATATTTTTTTTTTATATTCTAGATCCCTATTAAATTCTGTAAAACCTGTCCTATCTATCTAGTCATTTACTATCTAGTATCTAGATCTAGATCTAATTAATTAACCCCACAACCCCGCCCCTTGTCTTAAACCACCATCATGCCTTTTTAATATGCCTGCAGCACTATAGACTATTGCTGCATAGCACTATAGCTTTAATACTAAATACTTTATAATAAAAATAGTATTATAATTTATAAAGTTGATACTTATTTTTTTTATACTTTCCTTTGCCTTTATTGAAGCCTTAATTTATTGAAGCATTCCCTTTTGGTCATCCATAAATATTAAATAATGTCACGCTTTTAAAGATTTATAGTTTTTGTACACCACCCCCCTCTCCACCATCACACATCATTAATGACATTATCAGCCTACAACCCCACCCTCCCTCAAAAATGCATTTTAATTTCTTTTAAACATCAATTATTAATATTTACTCAAATATAATTTTGACTAAGTTTGATGGACAGAGTATTTTATTAGATTTCTAGATACTATTTTTATAATCTACAAAAACAGTTTTCTAAAATGTGAAATAACAAAATAACAGCTAAAATTCAATTTCCATAATTTCTTTTTTAAAATGCAAAAGTATGAAATCACACTATCAGACCACCATCATTCCGACAAACTACAAGGCAGCAGTTGTTTAATTTTGGAGTTGTCTCTCCTAGAAGAGTGGCTGTCCCCAGCTAACGAGCCTCGTCTGCCCGAGGGTTCGAACTCGAGACTTTTCGGTTTAGCAACCATGAGCTTTACCAATTTGACCACACCGAACCCTACCACGAAGTTATGAACACTATATATAGTAGTGTGAAGTCATTTATTGATGACCACTTAACACATTCAAATAACATTATAATCAATCAGGTAAAGCTGTTGTAAAACACATAAAAGTGTTGATTAAAGCGAGTCTTAGTCAGTGTTATTATTACTGCCCATGAAACATTTTTAAAAAAAAATTATCGTCTCCTGTTCGAGTCCAAGATGTCAGGGACTCAGGGACGTTCTACACACTCAAGCCAAGGATCTGAACTGGAGACTTTTAGGCTTGTAGTCATAAGCGTTATTATTTGACCATGCAGACCCGGAATAAATAATTATATGCCATTGTTACCAAATCAAATGGCAATGAGACTTGTTAGCGATTTCACCCTTGCTTATCCTTAGACCTTGCTTAGAGGTTTACTGAACTGATGCCTGTTTTTCAATAATGTATAGGCTGCTTGAGTTAGGCCTGTAAGACTTAAAAATATGTTTGTTATTGAATTATAAACAATTTCTATCGTTCTCATTTTAATTTATACAATTTTCATTAGATATTTTTAGAACAGAAAAATTTCAACATACACATTCAAGCTCAATAAACTCAGAAACAAATTTTATTTTTATTTTTTAATTATTTAAAGTGTAAACAATGTAACATGATAAACAGACAAAATTAGACTAGAAAGGGGGATATGGTTATCTTCAACAATAAAATAAATAATTTTGAAAGATGTGGTGTATTTGTTTTCTACTGAAAGACATTTTAAGTTTCACCATTGGATGAAGTAAGAAATAATACAAAGTAGTGAAAATACATGACAGTAATTGTTTTTATTGCTAAATGAAAGACATCTACACACTTCTTAAAATGTTGGAAAATGGCATGAACATGTTCAAAAGTAAAGTCCATAGGAACTAACATCAGGCCTCTTTATATCACAAGAAAAGCAGTTTACTTTTTAAGTGGCATCTGCTTTATTTATTGTCATTGGCCTTTCTTAGAGTTTATAGTCTTGGTAATATTTGTTAGGTTAGTTTATTTGTGCATATTTATTTCTTGTTAGCAAATAGAATTTCAAACATGTGTATATTATGTTAAATAGAATTTTTTTCTATCAGTACAAAAAATAATTTTATTTTAGTTCATAATATTATGTTCAACAATTATAATCATGAAATATTTTAAAATTTGTAAACAAATAAATAGTTTAAATAATAAAATGCTGTGAAGGGTTTCATGATTATTGTAAATGCAAGTTTAAATGTTTTTAATGATTGTGTAATGGGTTTAAAAATATTTGAAATATTTTTTATCTATTCACAACTGAGGACTTAAAAATGTCATAGATCTAGTTTATATATTAATGAACAAGAGAAATTAGAGGTATAAGCAGCCAAAAGCTCTCACAGCACACAATGTTTATATTACAAATGTCTAGTTAACATTGAATGTAAAAGTTGGTCGCAGATTTAATTCATAGGATCGTGACCCACAGGCACAACATGGTAAAAGGATTTTAAGGTGCGACCGCTTTAATTTTCTAATAAAAATTTACATCTTTCTTAATTTTAAAAATAATTTCCCCTTTCCTTGCACGAAAATGAGAAGAAAAAAAATTGAAACAGACACATTATTAATTTTCTACATTTGTAACTTGGGAAATCAAATATATACAAATAATAGGTTAAAACATCATCATATTTGTAAAAAAAATTCTGACTATAAGCTTCTAAGCAAACAATTTCCACTCTTTTTCAAAAGCACACATGTGAAGTGAACAAATAAATAAACACTTTTCTAAATTTAAAATAACACTCAGCACATCATTTAAAACTTAATTCCCAAGTTATTATTTTACAAGTTGCAAGTGATTTTTTTTAAAGCTTCTAATGATAATTTTTCAACATAAAAACTGGAAATTGTTTTTTAAACACTATGATTACAAAAACTGACAACAAGCTCTGCATAATATGAGTAAAACAATCTACATTATCTAATATAAATATTTGTTTATAATCTTAAAATAATTATTCATGCATTGTTGCATTAAAATATTGATATCAACCTTTGGTATTATATGCTGTTTCTTAGAATTTCTTTTGGATAGTTTCTTTTCTTTGTTTTGTTTTATAAAAATAAATAATCTTTAAAGGGGTAAGTAGTTTTCATTAATCAGAAAGGATGAGGGTTTGAAACTACGACTATATTTTTTCTTGGTCTACGTCTTAATGGTTGTCCGGTGATCTTTCTCAAGCTTGGTGGTGCAGGTGACCTTGACCTAGAACGTGCTCTTTGTGATCCTGAAGCAAGCAGCAGTCCATGTGCACTAGATTGCTGCTGGTTTTCTTCAGCTTTCACACTTGAATGAACATCTGTTTGCTCATCTTCATCCACATCATCAACTGTAATCTGAACTGAAGGAACAGCAGGTAAAGAACTGCTTTTTGATTCTTGGTTTTTATCATACTGCATTGGTAAGTCAAAAACTGGTATTGTGGTAAATTCTGAGCCTATTTCTCTTTGTTTTGTCTTTTCTGAGGGTTGGCTTTCAGCAGCATTTCTTTTCTTTTTTCTATGTTGCCTTCTAGATTGAACATCACTTTCACTGTCAGCATCCTCTTCTTGATACAATTGCTTAGGATCCACCAACATTTCAAAATCTGCCCCTTGGCTGTCTTGTTCAGAGTCTGTGCTACCAGAAAACTGATGCTTCATGAGTTTCTTTGTCTTCTTCTTCTTTCTTTCAATATTCTCAACCTTGGCATAAGCATCATTCAAAGCTTTCTCCAGCACAGATATATCATCCCCTTCTGATTTGATGTCTTGTGCATCAGAAGTGGCGCCATAGTCTGCACTGTCACTTGCTTCCATTGCTAACTTTCTTCTCCTTCTTTGGAGCCGTCTTCTTTTTGATTTTGATATTTTTGGCTTCTGATTGTTAGTATCATCAGCAGTGTTTAATGAAGCAGCAGCTTCTAGACATTCAACAGACTGTGCCTCTGTTTGTGGATCTTCTTCATCCTCTGAATGTTCTTCACTTGCTTGTTGTTGCTCACTATCCTCATGTACATGTATCTCAATTTTATTGTCTCCATCCTCTGAATGTTCTTCACCTGATTGTTGTTGCTCACCCTTCTCTTGTGCAAGCAGCTCAGATTCCTCATGAATAAAACTCTCAGTTACTAGACCATCCATCTCTTTTGTTTTCTCAACTTCTAAAGCTGCTGCAAGTTTCTCTGATTCATTTGAAAATTCTTGGAGTATTTCTTCAATAAAAAGGTCATCTTCTGGGTCAAACTTATTTTCCCATTTGCTGGGGTCATCACTGTAAGTTCTAGACAATTGAGCAGACATTGACCTTTCATATAGAGAGGGGATTCTTTTCTTGGATGTTATTTCATGTGGATCTTCTCCAGGCTCTTTAGTATTTTCTTGAAAATTGTCAGCTTTCAAATATAATGATTGGTCATCAAATGTGTCATTGTCTTCTGAGTAAAGTGAGTCAGGTTGTTTTAAATCTTCCTGCACATCTTCACTAGTTATAGATTCGTATGGCATTTCTTCCACTGAAGTGAGAACAGATTCATTTTTAGAGCCGCTTGATTGATATTTAGCAAATGCTTCATAACACATGCTTTCATCAATGGGGCTGATTGGTGATTCTTTGGGATTTGTCAAATCTTCCATTGCGACTTCTACCTCTGCCATTAAAACAATTTCCTTAGATATTGCTGAAGCCACTTCATTCCTCAGCTGCTCATGATACTGAGGAGTTTCAAATTCAGAGTCCAAACATTCATCATCATCAAAATGTTCATTTTCTTCATCATCTGTAAAAGTATTATCTCCTTCATTTTCCTCTTCATTATCATCTTCAATCTTTGTAGTTGGATGTGTTTCTGATGAGATGCTCTCAGACACACTAGGGGACTTTTGTAAACCAGAGTTGGCATTTTCTGCTTCATGAGTTCTTGTATCAGATGTTTCTTCAAAGTTATCATAATCTGATTCCACAAAAGCCTTAAAATCTGTCATATCTGGAGATGTTAGTTCTGAATCAGTTGTGGTTGCTGAGGTAACTTCATACTCTTGTGGACCTAAGGGAGATTCCAAATCTTTTATCCTATCAGTGTCTGGACACTCCCAGTCAGTACCATCAACATTATTTTCAGATACAGTGTAATCAGATTCTTGCATTTGATCTGTAAGGTTCAAAGACAGATTACTTGGTTTTGAAAAAGTTTTTTCTGATACTTCCATTTCAATGGAATTTTCTCTACATTGTTCTGATGATGGTGTTTTGATGTTAGAGACATCATTAGTGTCAACAAAATCTGATTGACCAGGTTTTTCATCAGTATCTTGTAATGTGAGTTCTTGTGTGTCTTCAGATGATTCAGTCAGAACAGCATGGGTTTCATCTAGTGATGGTTCATTCACATGTGTGACTTGTTCTAAGTGATCTTGTTCACTTATTAAAGATGTTTCTGTTAAGTCAACCTTTATCTCCTGGTTTAGTCCCACTGGGATAGTTGTGTCACAAGTAGTTGTTTCACTCACTTGATTGGTATCATATTCTATGTTTGAGGAGATAGAATGTTCTGGCAATTGCTCCCCAACAGTGGCTGCTTCTGTACCCTCAGTATCATCTAAACTGAGCTGGCGCTGATGATGAGCTCTGCATTCCTGCTCTTGAATAGCCAATACTTCATTGACTATATTCTCAGCTACTTCATCAGCAAGCCTTTCATCAAAACTTTTTTGTAAGAGCAGGGAAGATGACAGATCACTTTGAATTTGCTCACTTTCAAAGTCCAAGTCTTCTGTATTCTCCTCATTGTGGACTGTGTCCTTTTCCATTATGACATCAATGTCATCTAGGTTTACAAAGTCTTCCTCACTGTTGTCAGATGTTTCCTCTTTAATGTTATTTGAACCATCTGCAGCTTGTTCTAGAGGAGCCTTTGTTAGAAGTCTGTTTCCATGTCTATCAACATAATACAGAGTTTGTAGTCTGAACAACACTGACTGCTCTGAATCACTGCTGTTTATTTCATTTGATTCTGTCACTTCTTCGCCATAAGCATGAGATAGTTCATGGACAGAGGTTTCATAGTTGCAAGCATCTTCTGTAGATAGTAATGCATCAGCAGTTTGTATAATTTCAAAATCATCATCAGAGCTGTCTTCAGAATTTTTAGATGAATCTGTATTAGGCTGTACTAACGGAATTTCATCAATCTCTGTTAATTTATCTTCTTTATTTTCTTGAACTTTCTCTTGTCTTTCACATACTTTATCTTTTGATATTGTCTCATCAGTGTCTGTTTTTGACAGATTCTGAGAGTTTATGGGAGCTGGGCTTACTTCTCTTTCACTTGTTAGAAAATGTTCTTTTCTATCTATCTCATCTGCCTGATCCTGTTCAGTTTCTTGTATATACTCAGAGGATGCATTCTTTTGTTTCACGTCTAATTCATTTGTTATAAATTGTTCTTTTCTGTCTATTTCATCAGCATCCTGATTTGAATTAATTTTCTCATAGACATGTATGTCATCAGGGACATTATCAGGATCTGCTGTGTCCTGTCTGTCTTGCTCTTCTTGAATAAATAATTCATTTTCAGATGCTGAATTATCCTCACTGTCCATTATTTCTACAAAAGATCTGTTCAAAGGTGTATTGCTTGGTACAGATGGAAGGATTAAAGTCTCTTCATCTAAGTGTGAACTGGGGCTATGTTCAAAAACACTAGTTGATGTGGGTGTTTCTACAATGTCTTCTATATCAGAGCAAGATTTATTATCTACAAAATTGACATTACTGTCAGCGGTGCCCAAACTAGCATCTTCACTGAGCTGCATGTGTGGTTCAGGTTCACTTGGAGCACTTGTTACAGCACCTAAGAGCGACATGATGTCATCAAGAATGTCATAAATTTCCTTTTCCAGCTGATCTCTGCTTTGAGCTGAGCTGCTGTTCTCTGCAGTGCTGGATGCTCTGGATGGGTCTGGCTTCCTGGGACTGCTTTCTCGACTTTCATGAAGAGATGAGGACTCTGACAAAGACCCAGAAATTCTTGGTCTACCAGATGTTAAATTGGAAATCCTGAAAAAAGCACAAAATTATTACAATTATGTGTGATTATTTATTTTTCGTAAATTAAAAGATTTTGTAACTTGATAAAATAGTAAGTTTCTGTCTGAATGATACATTTTTCGATCTTACCTACCAGTAAATGACGTTTTATTAAGGGTATAACTACATTATACTATTTTAAATAAAAATAAATATCAAATACAAAATTTTAATTACAATGTAAGAAAATACCTGTTAAACAAAAAAAAAAAATTAATAACTTACTCATGCATAACATCTGAAGTAGATAGTGTCCCTTGTTGCAGTTCAAAAGCCATCTTTTCAACCAGGTTGTCTATAGCACCTATCACATCCATTTGACAGAGATCTATGTCTGAACTCATTCTTCTAGAGAAAGTTGTCATCATAGAGTGAACCTCAGCTAACTGAGATGTGTAGTCTTCACCTGAGAATAATTACAATGTTATTTGTTATTTTAAAAATTTAAGTCAAGTTCAAATAAAAATTTAAAATAATTGTTAATTTATAACATTGTTTATAAAATAATACTAAAATCAAACAACATTATGAACTACACAGAATTGTTTTTACAAATTATTCACACATAACTACAACTCATTTTGTTTGTAAAATATTAAATGAATTCAGCTTTTGGGTTAAATAGTAATAGTGATTATACAAATTTATGCAGAAAACATACACACCTTCAAAGTGTTCAGCTGACTGTTGCAGTGTGTCATCAGTCTGTTCTGTAAGTTTTTCATCTGTGATTTGTTCAGATGGTTGTGTTTCAGTTTTCAAGTCTTCCTGTGCTTCAATGGAGTCTTCAATGTCAGATGTTTCTTTTTCTTGCTTGACATCAGTGAGCTCCTCTTTTGCGCTCTCATCTTCAGAGTCACTTTGTTGTTCACTCTCTTCTGAGTATTCACTTTCTGACTCTTCTTCTTGTTCTTTGGTGTCTTGTGTTTGCACAAGTGAGTCATCTTTTTCAGTTTCTGGAGCAGTTTCAAGAGGACTCTCAGTGGACAGCTCTGCTGGGGCTTCAGATGCTAAAGTTTCAATGTGAATGACATCTGAATCATGTGGAAGCAGTGGCACAGATTGGACTTGACTTTGATCAATCTCTAGGACCAGATCTTCTTGTTCAGCTGACTGTTGCAGTGTGTCATCAGTCTGTTCTGTAAGTTTTTCATCTGTGATTTGTTCAGATGGTTGTGTTTCAGTTTTCAAGTCTTCCTGTGCTTCAATGGAGTCTTCAATGTCAGAGGTTTCTTTTTCTTGCTTGACATCAGTGAGCTCCTCTTTTGCGCTCTCATCTTCAGAGTCACTTTGTTGTTCACTCTCTTCTGAGTATTCACTTTCTGACTCTTCTTCTTGTTCTTTGGTGTCTTGTGTTTGCACAAGTGAGTCATCTTTTTCAGTTTCTGGAGCAGTTTCAAGAGGACTCTCAGTGGACAGCTCTGCTGGGGCTTCAGATGCTAAAGTTTCAATGTGAATGACATCTGAATCATGTGGAAGCAGTGGCACAGATTGGACTTGACTTTGATCAATCTCTAGGACCAGATCTTCTTGTTCAGCTGACTGTTGCAGTGTGTCATCAGTCTGTTCTGTAAGTTTTTCATCTGTGATTTGTTCAGATGGTTGTGTTTCAGTTTTCAAGTCTTCCTGTGCTTCAATGGAGTCTTCAATGTCAGATGTTTCTTTTTCTTGCTTGACATCAGTGAGCTCCTCTTTTGCGCTCTCATCTTCAGAGTCACTTTGTTGTTCACTCTCTTCTGAGTATTCACTTTCTGACTCTTCTTCTTGTTCTTTGGTGTCTTGTGTTTGCGCAAGTGAGTCATCTTTTTCAGTTTCTGGAGCAGTTTCAAGAGGACTCTCAGTGGACAGCTCTGCTGGGGCTTCAGATGCTAAAGTTTCAATGTGAATGACATCTGAATCATGTGGAAGCAGTGGCACAGATTGGACTTGACTTTGATCAATCTCTAGGACCAGATCTTCTTGTTCAGCTGACTGTTGCAGTGTGTCATCAGTCTGTTCTGTAAGTTTTTCATCTGTGATTTGTTCAGATGGTTGTGTTTCAGTTTTCAAGTCTTCCTGTGCTTCAATGGAGTCTTCAATGTCAGAGGTTTCATTTTCTTGCTTGACATCAGTGAGCTCCTCTTTTGCGCTCTCATTTTCAGAGTCACTTTGTTGTTCACTCTCTTCTGAGTATTCACTTTCTGACTCTTCTTCTTGTTCTTTGGTGTCTTGTGTTTGCACAAGTGAGTCATCTTTTTCAGTTTCTGGAGCAGTTTCAAGAGGACTCTCAGTGGACAGCTCTGCTGGGGCTTCAGATGCTAAAGTTTCAATGTGAATGACATCTGAATCATGTGGAAGCAGTGGCACAGATTGGACTTGACTTTGATCAATCTCTAGGACCAGATCTTCTTGTTCAGCTGACTGTTGCAGTGTGTCATCAGTCTGTTCTGTAAGTTTTTCATCTGTGATTTGTTCAGATGGTTGTGTTTCAGTTTTCAAGTCTTCCTGTGCTTCAATGGAGTCTTCAATGTCAGAGGTTTCTTTTTCTTGCTTGACATCAGTGAGCTCCTCTTTTGCGCTCTCATCTTCAGAGTCACTTTGTTGTTCACTCTCTTCTGAGTATTCACTTTCTGACTCTTCTTCTTGTTCTTTGGTGTCTTGTGTTTGCGCAAGTGAGTCATCTTTTTCAGTTTCTGGAGCAGTTTCAAGAGGACTCTCAGTGGACAGCTCTGCTGGGGCTTCAGATGCTAAAGTTTCAATGTGAATGACATCTGAATCATGTGGAAGCAGTGGCACAGATTGGACTTGACTTTGATCAATCTCTAGGACCAGATCTTCTTGTTCAGCTGACTGTTGCAGTGTGTCATCAGTCTGTTCTGTAAGTTTTTCATCTGTGATTTGTTCAGATGGTTGTGTTTCAGTTTTCAAGTCTTCCTGTGCTTCAATGGAGTCTTCAATGTCAGAGGTTTCTTTTTCTTGCTTGACATCAGTGAGCTCCTCTTTTGCGCTCTCATCTTCAGAGTCACTTTGTTGTTCACTCTCTTCTGAGTATTCACTTTCTGACTCTTCTTCTTGTTCTTTGGTGTCTTGTGTTTGCACAAGTGAGTCATCTTTTTCAGTTTCTGGAGCAGTTTCAAGAGGACTCTCAGTGGACAGCTCTGCTGGGGCTTCAGATGCTAAAGTTTCAATGTGAATGACATCTGAATCATGTGGAAGCAGTGGCACAGATTGGACTTGACTTTGATCAATCTCTAGGACCAGATCTTCTTGTTCAGCTGACTGTTGCAGTGTGTCATCAGTCTGTTCTGTAAGTTTTTCATCTGTGATTTGTTCAGATGGCTGTGTTTCAGTTTTCAAGTCTTCCTGTGCTTCAATGGAGTCTTCAATGTCAGAGGTTTCTTTTTCTTGCTTGACATCAGTGAGCTCCTCTTTTGCGCTCTCATCTTCAGAGTCACTTTGTTGTTCACTCTCTTCTGAGTATTCACTTTCTGAGTCTTCTTCTTGTTCTTTGGTGTCTTGTGTTTGCGCAAGTGAGTCATCTTTTTCAGTTTCTGGAGCAGTTTCAAGAGGACTCTCAGTGGACAGCTCTGCTGGGGCTTCAGATGCTAAAGTTTCAATGTGAATGACATCTGAATCATGTGGAAGCAGTGGCACAGATTGGACTTGACTTTGATCAATCTCTAGGACCAGATCTTCTTGTTCAGCTGACTGTTGCAGTGTGTCATCAGTCTGTTCTGTAAGTTTTTCATCTGTGATTTGTTCAGATGGTTGTGTTTCAGTTTTCAAGTCTTCCTGTGCTTCAATGGAGTCTTCAATGTCAGATGTTTCTTTTTCTTGCTTGACATCAGTGAGCTCCTCTTTTGCGCTCTCATCTTCAGAGTCACTTTGTTGTTCACTCTCTTCTGAGTATTCACTTTCTGAGTCTTCTTCTTGTTCTTTGGTGTCTTGTGTTTGCACAAGTGAGTCATCTTTTTCAGTTTCTGGAGCAGTTTCAAGAGGACTCTCAGTGGACAGCTCTGCTGGGGCTTCAGATGCTAAAGTTTCAATGTGAATGACATCTGAATCATGTGGAAGCAGTGGCACAGATTGGACTTGACTTTGATCAATCTCTAGGACCAGATCTTCTTGTTCAGCTGACTGTTGCAGTGTGTCATCAGTCTGTTCTGTAAGTTTTTCATCTGTGATTTGTTCAGATGGTTGTGTTTCAGTTTTCAAGTCTTCCTGTGCTTCAATGGAGTCTTCAATGTCAGATGTTTCTTTTTCTTGCTTGACATCAGTGAGCTCCTCTTTTGCGCTCTCATCTTCAGAGTCACTTTGTTGTTCACTCTCTTCTGAGTATTCACTTTCTGAGTCTTCTTCTTGTTCTTTGGTGTCTTGTGTTTGCACAAGTGAGTCATCTTTTTCAGTTTCTGGAGCAGTTTCAAGAGGACTCTCAGTGGACAGCTCTGCTGGGGCTTCAGATGCTAAAGTTTCAATGTGAATGACATCTGAATCATGTGGAAGCAGTGGCACAGATTGGACTTGACTTTGATCAATCTCTAGGACCAGATCTTCTTGTTCAGCTGACTGTTGCAGTGTGTCATCAGTCTGTTCTGTAAGTTTTTCATCTGTGATTTGTTCAGATGGTTGTGTTTCAGTTTTCAAGTCTTCCTGTGCTTCAATGGAGTCTTCAATGTCAGAGGTTTCTTTTTCTTGCTTGACATCAGTGAGCTCCTCTTTTGCGCTCTCATCTTCAGAGTCACTTTGTTGTTCACTCTCTTCTGAGTATTCACTTTCTGAGTCTTCTTCTTGTTCTTTGGTGTCTTGTGTTTGCACAAGTGAGTCATCTTTTTCAGTTTCTGGAGCAGTTTCAAGAGGACTCTCAGTGGACAGCTCTGCTGGGGCTTCAGATGCTAAAGTTTCAATGTGAATGACATCTGAATCATGTGGAAGCAGTGGCACAGATTGGACTTGACTTTGATCAATCTCTAGGACCAGATCTTCTTGTTCAGCTGACTGTTGCAGTGTGTCATCAGTCTGTTCTGTAAGTTTTTCATCTGTGATTTGTTCAGATGGTTGTGTTTCAGTTTTCAAGTCTTCCTGTGCTTCAATGGAGTCTTCAATGTCAGATGTTTCTTTTTCTTGCTTGACATCAGTGAGCTCCTCTTTTGCGCTCTCATCTTCAGAGTCACTTTGTTGTTCACTCTCTTCTGAGTATTCACTTTCTGAGTCTTCTTCTTGTTCTTTGGTGTCTTGTGTTTGCACAAGTGAGTCATCTTTTTCAGTTTCTGGAGCAGTTTCAAGAGGACTCTCAGTGGACAGCTCTGCTGGGGCTTCAGATGCTAAAGTTTCAATGTGAATGACATCTGAATCATGTGGAAGCAGTGGCACAGATTGGACTTGACTTTGATCAATCTCTAGGACCAGATCTTCTTGTTCAGCTGACTGTTGCAGTGTGTCATCAGTCTGTTCTGTAAGTTTTTCATCTGTGATTTGTTCAGATGGTTGTGTTTCAGTTTTCAAGTCTTCCTGTGCTTCAATGGAGTCTTCAATGTCAGAGGTTTCTTTTTCTTGCTTGACATCAGTGAGCTCCTCTTTTGCGCTCTCATCTTCAGAGTCACTTTGTTGTTCACTCTCTTCTGAGTATTCACTTTCTGACTCTTCTTCTTGTTCTTTGGTGTCTTGTGTTTGCGCAAGTGAGTCATCTTTTTCAGTTTCTGGAGCAGTTTCAAGAGGACTCTCAGTGGACAGCTCTGCTGGGGCTTCAGATGCTAAAGTTTCAATGTGAATGACATCTGAATCATGTGGAAGCAGTGGCACAGATTGGACTTGACTTTGATCAATCTCTAGGACCAGATCTTCTTGTTCAGCTGACTGTTGCAGTGTGTCATCAGTCTGTTCTGTAAGTTTTTCATCTGTGATTTGTTCAGATGGTTGTGTTTCAGTTTTCAAGTCTTCCTGTGCTTCAATGGAGTCTTCAATGTCAGAGGTTTCTTTTTCTTGCTTGACATCAGTGAGCTCCTCTTTTGCGCTCTCATCTTCAGAGTCACTTTGTTGTTCACTCTCTTCTGAGTATTCACTTTCTGAGTCTTCTTCTTGTTCTTTGGTGTCTTGTGTTTGCACAAGTGAGTCATCTTTTTCAGTTTCTGTAGCAGTTTCAAGAGGACTCTCAGTGGACAGCTCTGCTGGGGCTTCAGATGCTAAAGTTTCAATGTGAATGACATCTGAATCATGTGGAAGCAGTGGCACAGATTGGACTTGACTTTGATCAATCTCTAGGACCAGATCTTCTTGTTCAGCTGACTGTTGCAGTGTGTCATCAGTCTGTTCTGTAAGTTTTTCATCTGTGATTTGTTCAGATGGTTGTGTTTCAGTTTTCAAGTCTTCCTGTGCTTCAATGGAGTCTTCAATGTCAGAGGTTTCTTTTTCTTGCTTGACATCAGTGAGCTCCTCTTTTGCGCTCTCATCTTCAGAGTCACTTTGTTGTTCACTCTCTTCTGAGTATTCACTTTCTGAGTCTTCTTCTTGTTCTTTGGTGTCTTGTGTTTGCACAAGTGAGTCATCTTTTTCAGTTTCTGGAGCAGTTTCAAGAGGACTCTCAGTGGACAGCTCTGCTGGGGCTTCAGATGCTAAAGTTTCAATGTGAATGACATCTGAATCATGTGGAAGCAGTGGCACAGATTGGACTTGACTTTGATCAATCTCTAGGACCAGATCTTCTTGTTCAGCTGACTGTTGCAGTGTGTCATCAGTCTGTTCTGTAAGTTTTTCATCTGTGATTTGTTCAGATGGTTGTGTTTCAGTTTTCAAGTCTTCCTGTGCTTCAATGGAGTCTTCAATGTCAGATGTTTCTTTTTCTTGCTTGACATCAGTGAGCTCCTCTTTTGCGCTCTCATCTTCAGAGTCACTTTGTTGTTCACTCTCTTCTGAGTATTCACTTTCTGACTCTTCTTCTTGTTCTTTGGTGTCTTGTGTTTGCGCAAGTGAGTCATCTTTTTCAGTTTCTGGAGCAGTTTCAAGAGGACTCTCAGTGGACAGCTCTGCTGGGGCTTCAGATGCTAAAGTTTCAATGTGAATGACATCTGAATCATGTGGAAGCAGTGGCACAGATTGGACTTGACTTTGATCAATCTCTAGGACCAGATCTTCTTGTTCAGCTGACTGTTGCAGTGTGTCATCAGTCTGTTCTGTAAGTTTTTCATCTGTGATTTGTTCAGATGGTTGTGTTTCAGTTTTCAAGTCTTCCTGTGCTTCAATGGAGTCTTCAATGTCAGAGGTTTCTTTTTCTTGCTTGACATCAGTGAGCTCCTCTTTTGCGCTCTCATCTTCAGAGTCACTTTGTTGTTCACTCTCTTCTGAGTATTCACTTTCTGACTCTTCTTCTTGTTCTTTGGTGTCTTGTGTTTGCGCAAGTGAGTCATCTTTTTCAGTTTCTGGAGCAGTTTCAAGAGGACTCTCAGTGGACAGCTCTGCTGGGGCTTCAGATGCTAAAGTTTCAATGTGAATGACATCTGAATCATGTGGAAGCAGTGGCACAGATTGGACTTGACTTTGATCAATCTCTAGGACCAGATCTTCTTGTTCAGCTGACTGTTGCAGTGTGTCATTAGTCTGTTCTGTAAGTTTTTCATCTGTGATTTGTTCAGATGGTTGTGTTTCAGTTTTCAAGTCTTCCTGTGCTTCAATGGAGTCTTCAATGTCAGAGGTTTCTTTTTCTTGCTTGACATCAGTGAGCTCCTCTTTTGCGCTCTCATCTTCAGAGTCACTTTGTTGTTCACTCTCTTCTGAGTATTCACTTTCTGACTCTTCTTCTTGTTCTTTGGTGTCTTGTGTTTGCACAAGTGAGTCATCTTTTTCAGTTTCTGGAGCAGTTTCAAGAGGACTCTCAGTGGACAGCTCTGCTGGGGCTTCAGATGCTAAAGTTTCAATGTGAATGACATCTGAATCATGTGGAAGCAGTGGCACAGATTGGACTTGACTTTGATCAATCTCTAGGACCAGATCTTCTTGTTCAGCTGACTGTTGCAGTGTGTCATCAGTCTGTTCTGTAAGTTTTTCATCTGTGATTTGTTCAGATGGTTGTGTTTCAGTTTTCAAGTCTTCCTGTGCTTCAATGGAGTCTTCAATGTCAGAGGTTTCTTTTTCTTGCTTGACATCAGTGAGCTCCTCTTTTGCGCTCTCATCTTCAGAGTCACTTTGTTGTTCACTCTCTTCTGAGTATTCACTTTCTGACTCTTCTTCTTGTTCTTTGGTGTCTTGTGTTTGCGCAAGTGAGTCATCTTTTTCAGTTTCTGGAGCAGTTTCAAGAGGACTCTCAGTGGACAGCTCTGCTGGGGCTTCAGATGCTAAAGTTTCAATGTGAATGACATCTGAATCATGTGGAAGCAGTGGCACAGATTGGACTTGACTTTGATCAATCTCTAGGACCAGATCTTCTTGTTCAGCTGACTGTTGCAGTGTGTCATCAGTCTGTTCTGTAAGTTTTTCATCTGTGATTTGTTCAGATGGTTGTGTTTCAGTTTTCAAGTCTTCCTGTGCTTCAATGGAGTCTTCAATGTCAGAGGTTTCTTTTTCTTGCTTGACATCAGTGAGCTCCTCTTTTGCGCTCTCATCTTCAGAGTCACTTTGTTGTTCACTCTCTTCTGAGTATTCACTTTCTGACTCTTCTTCTTGTTCTTTGGTGTCTTGTGTTTGCACAAGTGAGTCATCTTTTTCAGTTTCTGGAGCAGTTTCAAGAGGACTCTCAGTGGACAGCTCTGCTGGGGCTTCAGATGCTAAAGTTTCAATGTGAATGACATCTGAATCATGTGGAAGCAGTGGCACAGATTGGACTTGACTTTGATCAATCTCTATGACCAGATCTTCTTGTTCAGCTGACTGTTGCAGTGTGTCATCAGTCTGTTCTGTAAGTTTTTCATCTGTGATTTGTTCAGATGGTTGTGTTTCAGTTTTCAAGTCTTCCTGTGCTTCAATGGAGTCTTCAATGTCAGAGGTTTCTTTTTCTTGCTTGACATCAGTGAGCTCCTCTTTTGCGCTCTCATCTTCAGAGTCACTTTGTTGTTCACTCTCTTCTGTGTATTCACTTTCTGACTCTTCTTCTTGTTCTTTGGTGTCTTGTGTTTGCACAAGTGAGTCATCTTTTTCAGTTTCTGGAGCAGTTTCAAGAGGACTCTCAGTGGACAGCTCTGCTGGGGCTTCAGATGCTAAAGTTTCAATGTGAATGACATCTGAATCATGTGGAAGCAGTGGCACAGATTGGACTTGACTTTGATCAATCTCTAGGACCAGATCTTCTTGTTCAGCTGACTGTTGCAGTGTGTCATCAGTCTGTTCTGTAAGTTTTTCATCTGTGATTTGTTCAGATGGTTGTGTTTCAGTTTTCAAGTCTTCCTGTGCTTCAATGGAGTCTTCAATGTCAGATGTTTCTTTTTCTTGCTTGACATCAGTGAGCTCCTCTTTTGCGCTCTCATCTTCAGAGTCACTTTGTTGTTCACTCTCTTCTGAGTATTCACTTTCTGACTCTTCTTCTTGTTCTTTGGTGTCTTGTGTTTGCACAAGTGAGTCATCTTTTTCAGTTTCTGGAGCAGTTTCAAGAGGACTCTCAGTGGACAGCTCTGCTGGGGCTTCAGATGCTAAAGTTTCAATGTGAATGACATCTGAATCATGTGGAAGCAGTGGCACAGATTGGACTTGACTTTGATCAATCTCTAGGACCAGATCTTCTTGTTCAGCTGACTGTTGCAGTGTGTCATCAGTCTGTTCTGTAAGTTTTTCATCTGTGATTTGTTCAGATGGTTGTGTTTCAGTTTTCAAGTCTTCCTGTGCTTCAATGGAGTCTTCAATGTCAGAGGTTTCTTTTTCTTGCTTGACATCAGTGAGCTCCTCTTTTGCGCTCTCATCTTCAGAGTCACTTTGTTGTTCACTCTCTTCTGAGTATTCACTTTCTGAGTCTTCTTCTTGTTCTTTGGTGTCTTGTGTTTGCACAAGTGAGTCATCTTTTTCAGTTTCTGGAGCAGTTTCAAGAGGACTCTCAGTGGACAGCTCTGCTGGGGCTTCAGATGCTAAAGTTTCAATGTGAATGACATCTGAATCATGTGGAAGCAGTGGCACAGATTGGACTTGACTTTGATCAATCTCTAGGACCAGATCTTCTTGTTCAGCTGACTGTTGCAGTGTGTCATCAGTCTGTTCTGTAAGTTTTTCATCTGTGATTTGTTCAGATGGTTGTGTTTCAGTTTTCAAGTCTTCCTGTGCTTCAATGGAGTCTTCAATGTCAGAGGTTTCTTTTTCTTGCTTGACATCAGTGAGCTCCTCTTTTGCGCTCTCATCTTCAGAGTCACTTTGTTGTTCACTCTCTTCTGAGTATTCACTTTCTGACTCTTCTTCTTGTTCTTTGGTGTCTTGTGTTTGCGCAAGTGAGTCATCTTTTTCAGTTTCTGGAGCAGTTTCAAGAGGACTCTCAGTGGACAGCTCTGCTGGGGCTTCAGATGCTAAAGTTTCAATGTGAATGACATCTGAATCATGTGGAAGCAGTGGCACAGATTGGACTTGACTTTGATCAATCTCTAGGACCAGATCTTCTTGTTCAGCTGACTGTTGCAGTGTGTCATCAGTCTGTTCTGTAAGTTTTTCATCTGTGATTTGTTCAGATGGTTGTGTTTCAGTTTTCAAGTCTTCCTGTGCTTCAATGGAGTCTTCAATGTCAGAGGTTTCTTTTTCTTGCTTGACATCAGTGAGCTCCTCTTTTGCGCTCTCATCTTCAGAGTCACTTTGTTGTTCACTCTCTTCTGAGTATTCACTTTCTGACTCTTCTTCTTGTTCTTTGGTGTCTTGTGTTTGCGCAAGTGAGTCATCTTTTTCAGTTTCTGGAGCAGTTTCAAGAGGACTCTCAGTGGACAGCTCTGCTGGGGCTTCAGATGCTAAAGTTTCAATGTGAATGACATCTGAATCATGTGGAAGCAGTGGCACAGATTGGACTTGACTTTGATCAATCTCTAGGACCAGATCTTCTTGTTCAGCTGACTGTTGCAGTGTGTCATCAGTCTGTTCTGTAAGTTTTTCATCTGTGATTTGTTCAGATGGTTGTGTTTCAGTTTTCAAGTCTTCCTGTGCTTCAATGGAGTCTTCAATGTCAGAGGTTTCTTTTTCTTGCTTGACATCAGTGAGCTCCTCTTTTGCGCTCTCATCTTCAGAGTCACTTTGTTGTTCACTCTCTTCTGAGTATTCACTTTCTGACTCTTCTTCTTGTTCTTTGGTGTCTTGTGTTTGCACAAGTGAGTCATCTTTTTCAGTTTCTGGAGCAGTTTCAAGAGGACTCTCAGTGGACAGCTCTGCTGGGGCTTCAGATGCTAAAGTTTCAATGTGAATGACATCTGAATCATGTGGAAGCAGTGGCACAGATTGGACTTGACTTTGATCAATCTCTAGGACCAGATCTTCTTGTTCAGCTGACTGTTGCAGTGTGTCATCAGTCTGTTCTGTAAGTTTTTCATCTGTGATTTGTTCAGATGGTTGTGTTTCAGTTTTCAAGTCTTCCTGTGCTTCAATGGAGTCTTCAATGTCAGAGGTTTCTTTTTCTTGCTTGACATCAGTGAGCTCCTCTTTTGCGCTCTCATCTTCAGAGTCACTTTGTTGTTCACTCTCTTCTGAGTATTCACTTTCTGACTCTTCTTCTTGTTCTTTGGTGTCTTGTGTTTGCACAAGTGAGTCATCTTTTTCAGTTTCTGGAGCGGTTTCAAGAGGACTCTCAGTGGACAGCTCTGCTGGGGCTTCAGATGCTAAAGTTTCAATGTGAATGACATCTGAATCATGTGGAAGCAGTGGCACAGATTGGACTTGACTTTGATCAATCTCTAGGACCAGATCTTCTTGTTCAGCTGACTGTTGCAGTGTGTCATCAGTCTGTTCTGTAAGTTTTTCATCTGTGATTTGTTCAGATGGTTGTGTTTCAGTTTTCAAGTCTTCCTGTGCTTCAATGGAGTCTTCAATGTCAGAGGTTTCTTTTTCTTGCTTGACATCAGTGAGCTCCTCTTTTGCGCTCTCATCTTCAGAGTCACTTTGTTGTTCACTCACTTCTGAGTATTCACTTTCTGACTCTTCTTCTTGTTCTTTGGTGTCTTGTGTTTGCACAAGTGAGTCATCTTTTTCAGTTTCTGGAGCACTTTCAAGAGGACTCTCAGTGGACAGCTCTGCTGGGGATTCAGATGCTAAAGTTTCAATGTGAATGACATCTGAATCATGTGGAAGCAGTGGCACAGATTGGACTTGACTTTGATCAATCTCTAGGACCAGATCTTCTTGTTCAGCTGACTGTTGCAGTGTGTCATCAGTCTGTTCTGTAAGTTTTTCATCTGTGATTTGTTCAGATGGTTGTGTTTCAGTTTTCAAGTCTTCCTGTGCTTCAATGGAGTCTTCAATATCAGAGGTTTCTTTTTCATGCTTGACATCAGTGAGCTCCTCTTTTGCGCTCTCATCTTCAGAGTCACTTTGTTGTTCACTCTCTTCTGAGTATTCACTTTCTGACTCTTCTTCTTGTTCTTTGGTGTCTTGTGTTTGCACAAGTGAGTCATCTTTTTCAGTTTCTGGAGCAGTTTCAAGAGGACTCTCAGTGGACAGCTCTGCTGGGGCTTCAGATGCTAAAGTTTCAATGTGAATGACATCTGAATCACGTGGAAGCAGTGGCACAGATTGGACTTGACTTTGATCAATATCTAGGACCAGATCTTCTTGTTCAGCTGACTGTTGCAGTGTGTCATCAGTCTGTTCTGTAAGTTTTTCATCTGTGATTTGTTCAGATGGTTGTGTTTCAGTTTTCAAGTCTTCCTGTGCTTCAATGGAGTCTTCAATATCAGAGGTTTCTTTTTCATGCTTGACATCAGTGAGCTCCTCTTTTGCGCTCTCATCTTCAGAGTCACTTTGTTGTTCACTCTCTTCTGAGTATTCACTTTCTGACTCTTCTTCTTGTTCTTTGGTGTCTTGTGTTTGCACAAGTGAGTCATCTTTTTCAGTTTCTGGAGCAGTTTCAAGAGGACTCTCAGTGGACAGCTCTGCTGGGGCTTCAGATGCTAAAGTTTCAATGTGAATGACATCTGAATCACGTGGAAGCAGTGGCACAGATTGGACTTGACTTTGATCAATATCTAGGACCAGATCTTCTTGTTCAGCTGACTGTTGCAGTGTGTCATCAGTCTGTTCTGTAAGTTTTTCATCTGTGATTTGTTCAGATGGTTGTGTTTCAGTTTTCAAGTCTTCCTGTGCTTCAATGGAGTCTTCAATGTCAGAGGTTTCTTTTTCTTGCTTGACATCAGTGAGCTCCTCTTTTGCGCTCTCATCTTCAGAGTCACTTTGTTGTTCACTCTCTTCTGAGTATTCACTTTCTGACTCTTCTTCTTGTTCTTTGGTGTCTTGTGTTTTCACAAGTGAGTCATCTTTTTCAGTTTCTGGAGCAGTTTCAAGAGGACTCTCAGTGGACAGCTCTGCTGGGGCTTCAGATGCTAAAGTTTCAATGTGAATGACATCTGAATCATGTGGAAGCAGTGGCACAGATTGGACTTGACTTTGATCAATCTCTAGGACCAGATCTTCTTGTTCAGCTGACTGTTGCAGTGTGTCATCAGTCTGTTCTGTAAGTTTTTCATCTGGGATTTGTTCAGATGGTTGTGTTTCAGTTTTCAAGTCTTCCTGTGCTTCAATGGAGTCTTCAATGTCAGAGGTTTCTTTTTCTTGCTTGACATCAGTGAGCTCCTCTTTTGCGCTCTCATCTTCAGAGTCACTTTGTTGTTCACTCTCTTCTGAGTATTCACTTTCTGAGTCTTCTTCTTGTTCTTTGGTGTCTTGTGTTTGCACAAGTGAGTCATCTTTTTCAGTTTCTGGAGCAGTTTCAAGAGGACTCTCAGTGGACAGCTCTGCTGGGGCTTCAGATGCTAAAGTTTCAATGTGAATGACATCTGAATCATGTGGAAGCAGTGGCACAGATTGGACTTGACTTTGATCAATCTCTAGGACCAGATCTTCTTGTTCAGCTGACTGTTGCAGTGTGTCATCAGTCTGTTCTGTAAGTTTTTCATCTGTGATTTGTTCAGATGGTTGTGTTTCAGTTTTCAAGTCTTCCTGTGCTTCAATGGAGTCTTCAATGTCAGAGGTTTCTTTTTCTTGCTTGACATCAGTGAGCTCCTCTTTTGCGCTCTCATCTTCAGAGTCACTTTGTTGTTCACTCACTTCTGAGTATTCACTTTCTGACTCTTCTTCTTGTTCTTTGGTGTCTTGTGTTTGCACAAGTGAGTCATCTTTTTCAGTTTCTGGAGCACTTTCAAGAGGACTCTCAGTGGACAGCTCTGCTGGGGATTCAGATGCTAAAGTTTCAATGTGAATGACATCTGAATCATGTGGAAGCAGTGGCACAGATTGGACTTGACTTTGATCAATCTCTAGGACCAGATCTTCTTGTTCAGCTGACTGTTGCAGTGTGTCATCAGTCTGTTCTGTAAGTTTTTCATCTGTGATTTGTTCAGATGGTTGTGTTTCAGTTTTTAAGTCTTCCTGTGCTTCAATGGAGTCTTCAATATCAGAGGTTTCTTTTTCATGCTTGACATCAGTGAGCTCCTCTTTTGCGCTCTCATCTTCAGAGTCACTTTGTTGTTCACTCTCTTCTGAGTATTCACTTTCTGACTCTTCTTCTTGTTCTTTGGTGTCTTGTGTTTGCACAAGTGAGTCATCTTTTTCAGTTTCTGGAGCAGTTTCAAGAGGACTCTCAGTGGACAGCTCTGCTGGGGCTTCAGATGCTAAAGTTTCAATGTGAATGACATCTGAATCACGTGGAAGCAGTGGCACAGATTGGACTTGACTTTGATCAATCTCTAGGACCAGATCTTCTTGTTCAGCTGACTGTTGCAGTGTGTCATCAGTCTGTTCTGTAAGTTTTTCATCTGTGATTTGTTCAGATGGTTGTGTTTCAGTTTTCAAGTCTTCCTGTGCTTCAATGGAGTCTTCAATGTCAGAGGTTTCTTTTTCTTGCTTGACATCAGTGAGCTCCTCTTTTGCGCTCTCATCTTCAGAGTCACTTTGTTGTTCACTCTCTTCTGAGTATTCACTTTCTGACTCTTCTTCTTGTTCTTTGGTGTCTTGTGTTTTCACAAGTGAGTCATCTTTTTCAGTTTCTGGAGCAGTTTCAAGAGGACTCTCAGTGGACAGCTCTGCTGGGGCTTCAGATGCTAAAGTTTCAATGTGAATGACATCTGAATCATGTGGAAGCAGTGGCACAGATTGGACTTGACTTTGATCAATCTCTAGGACCAGATCTTCTTGTTCAGCTGACTGTTGCAGTGTGTCATCAGTCTGTTCTGTAAGTTTTTCATCTGTGATTTGTTCAGATGGTTGTGTTTCAGTTTTCAAGTCTTCCTGTGCTTCAATGGAGTCTTCAATGTCAGAGGTTTCTTTTTCTTGCTTGACATCAGTGAGCTCCTCTTTTGCGCTCTCATCTTCAGAGTCACTTTGTTGTTCACTCTCTTCTGAGTATTCACTTTCTGACTCTTCTTCTTGTTCTTTGGTGTCTTGTGTTTGCACAAGTGAGTCATCTTTTTCAGTTTCTGGAGCAGTTTCAAGAGGACTCTCAGCGGACAGCTCTGCTGGGGATTCAGATGCTAAAGTTTCAATGTGAATGACATCTGAATCATGTGGAAGCAGCGGCACAGATTGGACTTGACTTTGATCAATCTCTAGGACCAGATCTTCTTGTTCAGCTGACTGTTGCAGTGTGTCATCAGTCTGTTCTGTAAGTTTTTCATCTGTGATTTGTTCAGTTTTCAATTCTTCCTTTGCTTCAATGTCATATGTTTCTTTTTCTTTCTCATTGTCAATATCTTGGTGTGAATTTCTATCTTTTTCATTGTTACATTCTTCAGCATATCTGCCAGAACTTTTCCCTGACTCTACTTTGCTTGATGATGTCTCCATGATTTTGAAATCGAAATTGGAGGCAACATCTGTAGAATCAGTGATTGCATTTGCCATATAATTAGTTTCTTTTTGCAAAGCATTTATGTACTCAGCTTCTGGACTTTCATTTCTCCAAAGCCTTGTTTCTTTAACTTCAGGATCTCCTATGTCAATTTCATTTATAGGATTGAAACTTTCTTCAAAGGCTTGGATAGTAAAATTTTGATCATTACTGAAGCATGGACTTATGTTTTCAGGATTTTCATATTCATCTTTTGTAGATAGAGGACTGTCTGGTCGATTCAGTAAGTTACTGGATGTCATTAAGGAAACTTCAATTTCAATTTCTTCAGCACATGTGGGATGATTGATCATTCCAAATGCTTCCAACATTTTCATCACATCTGGGTCTGTTATTTCTAAGGATTCAATAGATGATGTTGAAGGCTGGTGTCTGTCTCTATTGCTTGCTGTATTTACACATTCATCAGAAATACCAAACACTTCCAACATATCATGATAGCCATCTCTAGATTTTGTTTGTATTAGTGGTTTGTCTATAAGATTTTGGTTATCTGTATAATCACTTACACTGAAATGTACTCTTTGTTCTAAATGCGTGTCATTTTCATCTGCTGAATGTGCTATATTTTCCTCCACAAAATCACCGTTAATTCTGTCAAGCTGTTGTAAATCATTACTCAATTCTTGAAGAGCATTTGATTCTTCTGTAGTATTCCTTTCTGATTCGCTAATCATTTGAGTGTTTGGTCTTTCTGATCTGTCTGGCTCTTCAGATACAACAGCATCCATTTCTTCACAGCTTGATAAAGTGGACAGCCACTCCAGACATTTTAGAGTATCTTCAGTAATGGTGACATTGGTTTCATTACTGGTTTCAGCATAATCATCTATTACTCTGTTTTCTGTGCTTTCAATACTTTCGTTAGAAATCACAGGTGAAAATGTGTTAATAAAATCTTTATCAGATAGGTTTTCTTCAGTTCCAGTACATTGGCTCTCCGGGACTTTGAAGCTATCAGATTGTTTGTCTTTAGTACTTTTTTCAGATTCTGTAAAACTTACAGATTTCATCCAGTGAGGCAAAAAAATATCTTCTGGATGTGGTAGGAAGGTTTTTGTTTTGTTTGCCAACTCCTGTGTAGATGCATATTCAAAAACATCATCATTTTCTGTTAAAGGTAAATCCTTACTTGAATTCTCATTGTTCATAATTTGAGAACCAGAGTATGCCATTTGTTCTGCTAAAGTTTCCTTGTCATGTTTAGTTATTGCACCATCAAGGAACATAGATTCACTAAGAAGGAAAACATCATCAGCTTCTTGTAACCCAGATTTTTGTGTAGTTACATTAAATTCTTGATCTAGGCTAATTTTTTCTGCAGTTTGTATTTCAAATATGTCACCTTTGATTTCATTTATAAAGGCCATTGTTTCATTTTCTTGGGATGTGTTGTAGGTTGTGCTTTCATGAGTTAGATTTGTCTCACTTGTTTCAGTAATGTTTAATTCTTTTTCACTACTTAAGACCTCATGCATTTGCTTAAGTGTAGAAGAAAAGGATGTGGCTGAAGATGATGATACAACAGTGCAATCAGGTTCCTCATTATCATTTATGCCTTCAAATTCTTCAAACTCATCATCAACATCAGCAGATATTTTTTCTGCATCTTCTTCAAACCCTATTCTGGAATGATTTGCATTGTCTTTTTTAATTTCAATTTCTTCACTCATTTTAGAAATATAACTGAAGTCTGTTTGGTGGTGCTGATTTTTACTGTAAGGTGTCTGTTCCAAATTTCTATGCTGATTATGCTCAATATTTTCTTCAACTTCTAAGTCTATAGATTCTACATCACTGATTTTTTCTTCTTGATGCAGGAATCTATGTTCAAAATTTTGTGAAATATTTTCTTTAAAATCTTTACTTTCAACTTTAAACTTATCTTCTTTCACAGCCATAGCATTATCATTATTAAAATCATTAGATGGAGGTAAATCTAAAGACTGATATAAAGAACGATGTTGAACACTAATTTCTGTCTCATCATCAAAATCTGTTGAGTCATCAGCATCTCCAGTTGTTGATACTACTTGTTGAATACTTTCTTCTTTGTTTAATGTAAGCTGTTGTACATCTTCAGTAAAAGAAGGCTGTAGATTAAAATATTTATCCCATGAACAACCAATAAAGATAACTTCACTTGATTCTTCATCATCATTCTGTGAATAACCAAAATCAGAATCTTTAGAAAGTGCATCTGAAGTATCTTCTTGAATATAGGTATCTGGAGTGTCTTCCACCTCCTGTGAGAAACTTTCATCAGTGAGCTCAGTGGTTTGGGAATCAACAAGGATCTCTTGTTCTTGTTGTGTTTCTGCTTGTGTGGTTTCCTCTATGAGTTGGTCAGCACTTTCTTCAGGTGCTATTTCTTCTTCTTCTTTATCTTCACAGACAGGCAAGCTGTCTTGTACTTCTTCTGCTAATTCAATGTCATTGACTTCAGAAAAGCTCTCGTGGAATTCTGGCAATTCGACTGGACTATCGTCTTGAGTTGCTGGCAGCTCTTCAGCGTTTTTCTGCAAGATTGGTTTAATCCATTCATCGTCAACAGCTTCAGGGCTGGATGGTCTGACCATGAGATTGCAGCTGTCTGCGTCAAAGATTTGAGCCTCAATGACATCTGATGCAGTCGATTGTGATTCTGGAATATAGGTATCTGGAGTGTCTTCCACCTCCTGTGAGAAACTTTCATCAGTGAGCTCAGTGGTTTGGGAATCAACAAGGATCTCTTGTTCTTGTTGTGTTTCTGCTTGTGTGGTTTCCTCTATGAGTTGGTCAGCACTTTCTTCAGGTGCTATTTCTTCTTCTTCTTTATCTTCACAGACAGGCAAGCTGTCTTGTACTTCTTCTGCTAATTCAATGTCATTGACTTCAGAAAAGCTCTCGTGGAATTCTGGCAATTCGACTGGACTGTCGTCTTGAGTTGCTGGCAGCTCTTCAGCGTTTTTCTGCAAGATTGGTTTAATCCATTCATCGTCAACAGCTTCAGGGCTGGATGGTCTGTCCATGAGATTGCAGCTGTCTGCGTCAAAGATTTGAGCCTCAATGACATCTGATGCAGTCGATTGTGATTCTGGAATATAGGTATCTGGAGTGTCTTCCACCTCCTGTGAGAAACTTTCATCAGTGAGCTCAGTGGTTTGGGAATCAACAAGGATCTCTTGTTCTTGTTGTGTTTCTGCTTGTGTGGTTTCCTCTATGAGTTGGTCAGCACTTTCTTCAGGTGCTATTTCTTCTTCTTCTTTATCTTCACAGACAGGCAAGCTGCCTTGTACTTCTTCTGCTAATTCAATGTCATTGACTTCAGAAAAGCTCTCGTGGAATTCTGGCAATTCGACTGGACTGTCGTCTTGAGTTGCTGGCAGCTCTTCAGCGTTTATCTGCAAGATTGGTTTAATCCATTCATCGTCAACAGCTTCAGGGCTGGATGGTCTGTCCATGAGATTGCAGCTGTCTGCGTCAAAGATTTGAGCCTCAATGACATCTGATGCAGTCGATTGTGATTCTGGAATATAGGTATCTGGAGTGTCTTTCACCTCCTGTGAGAAACTTTCATCAGTGAGCTCAGTGGTTTGGGAATCAACAAGGATCTCTTGTTCTTGTTGTGTTTCTGCTTGTGTGGTTTCCTCTATGAGTTGGTCAGCACTTTCTTCAGGTGCTATTTCTTCTTCTTCTTTATCTTCACAGACAGGCAAGCTGTCTTGTACTTCTTCTGCTAATTCAATGTCATTGACTTCAGAAAAGCTCTCGTGGAATTCTGGCAATTCGACTGGACTGTCGTCTTGAGTTGCTGGCAGCTCTTCAGCGTTTTTCTGCAAGATTGGTTTAATCCATTCATCGTCAACAGCTTCAGGGCTGGATGGTCTGACCATGAGATTGCAGCTGTCTGCGTCAAAGATTTGAGCCTCAATGACATCTGATGCAGTCGATTGTGATTCTGGAATATAGGTATCTGGAGTGTCTTCCACCTCCTGTGAGAAACTTTCATCAGTGAGCTCAGTGGTTTGGGAATCAACAAGGATCTCTTGTTCTTGTTGTGTTTCTGCTTGTGTGGTTTCCTCTATGAGTTGGTCAGCACTTTCTTCAGGTGCTTTTTCTTTTTCTTCTTTATCTTCACAGACAGGCAAGCTGTCTTGTACTTCTTCTGCTAATTCAATGTCATTGACTTCAGAAAAGCTCTCGTGTATTTCTGACAATTCGACTGGACTGTCGTCTTGAGTTGCTGGCAGCTCTTCAGCATTTTTCTGCAAGATTGGTTTAATCCATTCATCGTCAACAGCTTCAGGGCTGGATGGTCTGACCATGAGATTGCAGCTGTCTGCGTCAAAGATTTGAGCCTCAATGACATCTGATGCAGTCGATTGTGATTCTGGAATATAGGTATCTGGAGTGTCTTCCACCTCCTGTGAGAAACTTTCATCAGTGAGCTCAGTGGTTTGGGAATCAACAAGGATCTCTTGTTCTTGTTGTGTTTCTGCTTGTGTGGTTTCCTCTATGAGTTGGTCAGCACTTTCTTCAGGTGCTATTTCTTCTTCTTCTTTATCTTCACAGACAGGCAAGCTGTCTTGTACTTCTTCTGCTAATTCAATGTCATTGACTTCAGAAAAGCTCTCGTGTATTTCTGACAATTCGACTGGACTGTCGTTTTGAGTTGCTGGCAGCTCTTCAGCATTTTTCTGCAAGATTGGTTTAATCCATTCATCGTCAACAGCTTCAGGGCTGGATGGTCTGACCATGAGATTGCAGCTGTCTGCGTCAAAGATTTGAGCCTCAATGACATCTGATGCAGTCGATTGTGATTCTGGAATATAGGTATCTGGAGTGTCTTCCACCTCCTGTGAGAAACTTTCATCAGTGAGCTCAGTGGTTTGGGAATCAACAAGGATCTCTTGTTCTTGTTGTGTTTCTGCTTGTGTGGTTTCCTCTATGAGTTGGTCAGCACTTTCTTCAGGTGCTATTTCTTCTTCTTCTTTATCTTCACAGACAGGCAAGCTGTCTTGTACTTCTTCTGCTAATTCAATGTCATTGACTTCAGAAAAGCTCTCGTGGAATTCTGGCAATTCGACTGGACTGTCGTCTTGAGTTGCTGGCAGCTCTTCAGCGTTTTTCTGCAAGATTGGTTTAATCCATTCATCGTCAACAGCTTCAGGGCTGGATGGTCTGTCCATGAGATTGCAGCTGTCTGCGTCAAAGATTTGAGCCTCAATGACATCTGATGCAGTCGATTGTGATTCTGGAATATAGGTATCTGGAGTGTCTTCCACCTCCTGTGAGAAACTTTCATCAGTGAGCTCAGTGGTTTGGGAATCAACAAGGATCTCTTGTTCTTGTTGTGTTTCTGCTTGTGTGGTTTCCTCTATGAGTTGGTCAGCACTTTCTTCAGGTGCTATTTCTTCTTCTTCTTTATCTTCACAGACAGGCAAGCTGCCTTGTACTTCTTCTGCTAATTCAATGTCATTGACTTCAGAAAAGCTCTCGTGGAATTCTGGCAATTCGACTGGACTGTCGTCTTGAGTTGCTGGCAGCTCTTCAGCGTTTTTCTGCAAGATTGGTTTAATCCATTCATCGTCAACAGCTTCAGGGCTGGATGGTCTGTCCATGAGATTGCAGCTGTCTGCGTCAAAGATTTGAGCCTCAATGACATCTGATGCAGTCGATTGTGATTCTGGAATATAGGTATCTGGAGTGTCTTTCACCTCCTGTGAGAAACTTTCATCAGTGAGCTCAGTGGTTTGGGAATCAACAAGGATCTCTTGTTCTTGTTGTGTTTCTGCTTGTGTGGTTTCCTCTATGAGTTGGTCAGCACTTTCTTCAGGTGCTATTTCTTCTTCTTCTTTATCTTCACAGACAGGCAAGCTGTCTTGTACTTCTTCTGCTAATTCAATGTCATTGACTTCAGAAAAGCTCTCGTGGAATTCTGGCAATTCGACTGGACTGTCGTCTTGAGTTGCTGGCAGCTCTTCAGCGTTTTTCTGCAAGATTGGTTTAATCCATTCATCGTCAACAGCTTCAGGGCTGGATGGTCTGACCATGAGATTGCAGCTGTCTGCGTCAAAGATTTGAGCCTCAATGACATCTGATGCAGTCGATTGTGATTCTGGAATATAGGTATCTGGAGTGTCTTCCACCTCCTGTGAGAAACTTTCATCAGTGAGCTCAGTGGTTTGGGAATCAACAAGGATCTCTTGTTCTTGTTGTGTTTCTGCTTGTGTGGTTTCCTCTATGAGTTGGTCAGCACTTTCTTCAGGTTCTATTACTTCTTCTTCTTTATCTTCACAGACAGGCAAGCTGTCTTGTACTTCTTCTGCTAATTCAATGTCATTGACTTCAGAAAAGCTCTCGTGGAATTCTGGCAATTCGACTGGACTATCGTCTTGAGTTGCTGGCAGCTCTTCAGCATTTTTCTGCAAGATTGGTTTAATCCATTCATCGTCAACAGCTTCAGGGCTGGATGGTCTGTCCATGAGATTGCAGCTGTCTGCGTCAAAGATTTGAGCCTCAATGACATCTGATGCAGTCGATTGTGATTCTGGAATATAGGTATCTGGAGTGTCTTCCACCTCCTGTGAGAAACTTTCATCAGTGAGCTCAGTGGTTTGGGAATCAACAAGGATCTCTTGTTCTTGTTGTGTTTCTGCTTGTGTGGTTTCCTCTATGAGTTGGTCAGCACTTTCTTCAGGTGCTATTTCTTCTTCTTCTTTATCTTCACAGACAGGCAAGCTGTCTTGTACTTCTTCTGCTAATTCAATGTCATTGACTTCAGAAAAGCTCTCGTGGAATTCTGGCAATTCGACTGGACTGTCGTCTTGAGTTGCTGGCAGCTCTTCGGCGTTTTTCTGCCAGATTGGTTTAATCCATTCATCGTCAACAGCTTCAGGGCTGGATGGTCTTACCATGAGATCGGAGCTGTCTGCGTCAAAGATTTGAGCCTCAATGACATCTGATGCAGTCGATTGTGATTCTGGAATATAGGTATCTGGAGTGTCTTCCACCTCCTGTGAGAAACTTTCATCAGTGAGCTCAGTGGTTTGGGAATCAACAAGGATCTCTTGTTCTTGTTGTGTTTCTGCTTGTGTGGTTTCCTCTATGAGTTGGTCAGCACTTTGTTCAAGTGCTATTTCTTCTTCTTCTTCTTTTTCTTCACAGACAGGCAAGCTGTCTTGTACTTCTTCTGCTAATTCAATGTCATTGACTTCAGAAAAGCTCTCGTGGAATTCTGGCAATTCGACTGGACTGTCGTCTTGAGTTGCTGGCAGCTCTTCCGCGTTTTTCTGCAAGATTGGTTTAATCCATTCATCGTCAAAAGCTTCAGGGCTGGATGGTCTGAACATGAGATTGCAGCTGTCTGCGTCAAAGATTTGAGCCTCGATGACATCTGATGCAGTCGATTGTGATTCTGGAATATAGGTATCTGGAGTGTCTTCCACCTCCTGTGAGAAACTTTCATCAGTGAGCTCAGTGGTTTGGGAATCAACAAGGATCTCTTGTTCTTGTTGTGTTTCTGCTTCTGTGGTTTCCTCTATGAGTTGGTCAGCACTTTCTTCAGGTGCTAATTCTTCTTCTTCTTCTTTATCTTCACAGACAGGCAAGCTGTCTTGTACTTCTTCTGCTAATTCAATGTCATTGACTTCAGAAAAGCTCTCGTGGAATTCTGGCAATTCGACTGGACTGTCGTCTTGAGTTGCTGGCAGCTCTTCGGCGTTTTTCTGCAAGATTTGTTTAATCCATTCATCGTCAACAGCTTCAGGGCTGGATGGTCTGACCTTGAGATTGCAGCTGTCTGCGTCAAAGATTTTAGCCTCAATGACATCTGATGCAGTCGATTGTGATTCTGGAATATAGGTATCTGGAGTGTCTTCCACCTCCTGTGAGAAACTTTCATCAGTGAGCTCAGTGGTTTGGGAATCAACAAGGATCTCTTGTTCTTGTTGTGTTTCTGCTTGTGTGGTTTCCTCTATGAGTTGGTCAGCACTTTGTTCAAGTGCTATTTCTTCTTCTTCTTCTTTTTCTTCACAGACAGGCAAGCTGTCTTGTACTTCTTCTGCTAATTCAATGTCATTGACTTCAGAAAAGCTCTCGTGGAATTCTGGCAATTCGACTGGACTGTCGTCTTGAGTTGCTGGCAGCTCTTCGGCGTTTTTCTGCCAGATTGGTTTAATCCATTCATCGTCAACAGCTTCAGGGCTGGATGGTCTGACCATGAGATCGGAGCTGTCTGCGTCAAAGATTTGAGCCTCAATGACATCTGATGCAGTCGATTGTGATTCTGGAATATAGGTATCTGGAGTGTCTTCCACCTCCTGTGAGAAACTTTCATCAGTGAGCTCAGTGGTTTGGGAATCAACAAGGATCTCTTGTTCTTGTTGTGTTTCTGCTTGTGTGGTTTCCTCTATGAGTTGGTCAGCACTTTGTTCAAGTGCTATTTCTTCTTCTTCTTTTTCTTCACAGACAGGCAAGCTGTCTTGTACTTCTTCTGCTAATTCAATGTCATTGACTTCAGAAAAGCTCTCGTGGAATTCTGGCAATTCGACTGGACTGTCGTCTTGAGTTGCTGGCAGCTCTTCAGCGTTTTTCTGCAAGATTGGTTTAATCCATTCATCGTCAACAGCTTCAGGGCTGGATGGTCTGAACATGAGATTGCAGCTGTCTGCGTCAAAGATTTGAGCCTCGATGACATCTGATGCAGTCGATTGTGATTCTGGAATATAGGTATCTGGAGTGTCTTCCACCTCCTGTGAGAAACTTTCATCAGTGAGCTCAGTGGTTTGGGAATCAACAAGGATCTCTTGTTCTTGTTGTGTTTCTGCTTCTGTGGTTTCCTCTATGAGTTGGTCAGCACTTTCTTCAGGTGCTATTTCTTCTTCTTCTTTATCTTCACAGACAGGCAAGCTGTCTTGTACTTCTTCTGCTAATTCAATGTCATTGACTTCAGAAAAGCTCTCGTGGAATTCTGGCAATTCGACTGGACTGTCGTCTTGAGTTGCTGGCAGCTCTTCGGCGTTTTTCTGCAAGATTGGTTTAATCCATTCATCGTCAACAGCTTCAGGGCTGGATGGTCTGACCATGAGATTGCAGCTGTCTGCGTCAAAGATTTTAGCCTCAATGACATCTGATGCAGTCGATTGTGATTCTGGAATATAGTTATCTGGAGTGTCTTCCACCTCCTGCGAGAAACTTTCATCAGTGAGCTCAGTGGTTTGGGAATCAACAAGGATCTCTTGTTCTTGTTGTGTTTCTGCTTGTGTGGTTTCCTCTATGAGTTGGTCAGCACTTTGTTCAAGTGCTATTTCTTTTTCTTTTTCTTTTTCTTCACAGACAGGCAAGCTGTCTTGTACTTCTTCTGCTAATTCAATGTCATTGACTTCAGAAAAGCTCTCGTGGAATTCTGGCAATTCGACTGGACTGTCGTCTTGAGTTGCTGGCAGCTCTTCAGCGTTTTTCTGCAAGATTGGTTTAATCCATTCATCGTTAACAGCTTCAGGGCTGGATGGTCTGTCCATGAGATTGCAGCTGTCTGCGTCAAAGATTTGAGCCTCAATGACATCTGATGCAGTCGATTGTGATTCTGGAATATAGGTATCTGGAGTGTCTTCCACCTCCTGTGAGAAACTTTCATCAGTGAGCTCAGTGGTTTGGGAATCAACAAGGATCTCTTGTTCTTGTTGTGTTTCTGCTTGTGTGGTTTCCTCTATGAGTTGGTCAGCACTTTCTTCAGGTTCTATTTCTTCTTCTTCTTTATCTTCACAGACAGGCAAGCTGTCTTGTACTTCTTCTGCTAATTCAATGTCATTGACTTCAGAAAAGCTCTCGTGGAATTCTGGCAATTCGACTGGACTGTCGTCTTGAGTTGCTGGCAGCTCTTCGGCGTTTTTCTGCAAGATTTGTTTAATCCATTCATCGTCAACAGCTTCAGGGCTGGATGGTCTGACCTTGAGATTGCAGCTGTCTGCGTCAAAGATTTGAGCCCCAATGACATCTGATGCAGTCGATTGTGATTCTGGAATATAGGTATCTGGAGTGTCTATCACCTCCTGTGAGAAACTTTCTTCAGTGAGCTCAGTGGTTTGGGAATCAACAAGGATCTCTTGTTCTTGTTGTGTTTCTGCTTGTGTGGTTTCCTCTATGAGTTGGTCAGCACTTTGTTCAAGTGCTATTTCTTCTTCTTCTTTTTCTTCACAGACAGGCAAGCTGTCTTGTACTTCTTCTGCTAATTCAATGTCATTGACTTCAGAAAAGCGCTCGTGGAATTCTGGCAATTCGACTGGACTGTCGTCTTGAGTTGCTGGCAGCTCTTCGGCGTTTTTCTGCCAGATTGGTTTAATCCATTCATCGTCAACAGCTTCAGGGCTGGATGGTCTGACCATGAGATCGGAGCTGTCTGCGTCAAAGATTTGAGCCTCAATGACATCTGATGCAGTCGATTGTGATTCTGGAATATAGGTATCTGGAGTGTCTTCCACCTCCTGTGAGAAACTTTCATCAGTGAGCTCAGTGGTTTGGGAATCAACAAGGATCTCTTGTTCTTGTTGTGTTTCTGCTTGTGTGGTTTCCTCTATGAGTTGGTCAGCACTTTGTTCAAGTGCTATTTCTTCTTCTTCTTTTTCTTCACAGACAGGCAAGCTGTCTTGTACTTCTTCTGCTAATTCAATGTCATTGACTTCAGAAAAGCTCTCGTGGAATTCTGGCAATTCGACTGGACTGTCGTCTTGAGTTGCTGGCAGCTCTTCAGCGTTTTTCTGCAAGATTGGTTTAATCCATTCATCGTCAACAGCTTCAGGGCTGGATGGTCTGAACATGAGATTGCAGCTGTCTGCGTCAAAGATTTGAGCCTCGATGACATCTGATGCAGTCGATTGTGATTCTGGAATATAGGTATCTGGAGTGTCTTCCACCTCCTGTGAGAAACTTTCATCAGTGAGCTCAGTGGTTTGGGAATCAACAAGGATCTCTTGTTCTTGTTGTGTTTCTGCTTCTGTGGTTTCCTCTATGAGTTGGTCAGCACTTTCTTCAGGTGCTATTTCTTCTTCTTCTTTATCTTCACAGACAGGCAAGCTGTCTTGTACTTCTTCTGCTAATTCAATGTCATTGACTTCAGAAAAGCTCTCGTGGAATTCTGGCAATTCGACTGGACTGTCGTCTTGAGTTGCTGGCAGCTCTTCGGCGTTTTTCTGCAAGATTGGTTTAATCCATTCATCGTCAACAGCTTCAGGGCTGGATGGTCTGACCATGAGATTGCAGCTGTCTGCGTCAAAGATTTTAGCCTCAATGACATCTGATGCAGTCGATTGTGATTCTGGAATATAGTTATCTGGAGTGTCTTCCACCTCCTGCGAGAAACTTTCATCAGTGAGCTCAGTGGTTTGGGAATCAACAAGGATCTCTTGTTCTTGTTGTGTTTCTGCTTGTGTGGTTTCCTCTATGAGTTGGTCAGCACTTTGTTCAAGTGCTATTTCTTTTTCTTTTTCTTTTTCTTCACAGACAGGCAAGCTGTCTTGTACTTCTTCTGCTAATTCAATGTCATTGACTTCAGAAAAGCTCTCGTGGAATTCTGGCAATTCGACTGGACTGTCGTCTTGAGTTGCTGGCAGCTCTTCAGCGTTTTTCTGCAAGATTGGTTTAATCCATTCATCGTTAACAGCTTCAGGGCTGGATGGTCTGTCCATGAGATTGCAGCTGTCTGCGTCAAAGATTTGAGCCTCAATGACATCTGATGCAGTCGATTGTGATTCTGGAATATAGGTATCTGGAGTGTCTTCCACCTCCTGTGAGAAACTTTCATCAGTGAGCTCAGTGGTTTGGGAATCAACAAGGATCTCTTGTTCTTGTTGTGTTTCTGCTTGTGTGGTTTCCTCTATGAGTTGGTCAGCACTTTCTTCAGGTTCTATTTCTTCTTCTTCTTTATCTTCACAGACAGGCAAGCTGTCTTGTACTTCTTCTGCTAATTCAATGTCATTGACTTCAGAAAAGCTCTCGTGGAATTCTGGCAATTCGACTGGACTGTCGTCTTGAGTTGCTGGCAGCTCTTCGGCGTTTTTCTGCAAGATTTGTTTAATCCATTCATCGTCAACAGCTTCAGGGCTGGATGGTCTGACCTTGAGATTGCAGCTGTCTGCGTCAAAGATTTGAGCCCCAATGACATCTGATGCAGTCGATTGTGATTCTGGAATATAGGTATCTGGAGTGTCTTCCACCTCCTGTGAGAAACTTTCTTCAGTGAGCTCAGTGGTTTGGGAATCAACAAGGATCTCTTGTTCTTGTTGTGTTTCTGCTTGTGTGGTTTCCTCTATGAGTTGGTCAGCACTTTGTTCAAGTGCTATTTCTTCTTCTTCTTTTTCTTCACAGACAGGCAAGCTGTCTTGTACTTCTTCTGCTAATTCAATGTCATTGACTTCAGAAAAGCTCTCGTGGAATTCTGGCAATTCGACTGGACTGTCGTCTTGAGTTGCTGGCAGCTCTTCAGCGTTTTTCTGCAAGATTGGTTTAATCCATTCATCGTCAACAGCTTCAGGGCTGGATGGTCTGAACATGAGATTGCAGCTGTCTGCGTCAACGATTTGAGCCTCGATGACATCTGATGCAGTCGATTGTGATTCTGGAATATAGGTATCTGGAGTGTCTTCCACCTCCTGTGAGAAACTTTCATCAGTGAGCTCAGTGGTTTGGGAATCAACAAGGATCTCTTGTTCTTGTTGTGTTTCTGCTTCTGTGGTTTCCTCTATGAGTTGGTCAGCACTTTCTTCAGGTGCTATTTCTTCTTCTTCTTTATCTTCACAGACAGGCAAGCTGTCTTGTACTTCTTCTGCTAATTCAATGTCATTGACTTCAGAAAAGCTCTCGTGGAATTCTGGCAATTCGACTGGACTGTCGTCTTGAGTTGCTGGCAGCTCTTCGGCGTTTTTCTGCCAGATTGGTTTAATCCATTCATCGTTAACAGCTTCAGGGCTGGATGGTCTGACCATGAGATCGGAGCTGTCTGCGTCAAAGATTTGAGCCTCAATGACATCTGATGCAGTCGATTGTGATTCTGGAATATAGGTATCTGGAGTGTCTTCCACCTCCTGTGAGAAACTTTCATCAGTGAGCTCAGTGGTTTGGGAATCAACAAGGATCTCTTGTTCTTGTTGTGTTTCTGCTTGTGTGGTTTCCTCTATGAGTTGGTCAGCACTTTGTTCAAGTGCTATTTCTTCTTCTTCTTTTTCTTCACAGACAGGCAAGCTGTCTTGTACTTCTTCTGCTAATTCAATGTCATTGACTTCAGAAAAGCTCTCGTGGAATTCTGGCAATTCGACTGGACTGTCGTCTTGAGTTGCTGGCAGCTCTTCAGCGTTTTTCTGCAAGATTGGTTTAATCCATTCATCGTCAACAGCTTCAGGGCTGGATGGTCTGAACATGAGATTGCAGCTGTCTGCGTCAAAGATTTGAGCCTCGATGACATCTGATGCAGTCGATTGTGATTCTGGAATATAGGTATCTGGAGTGTCTTCCACCTCCTGTGAGAAACTTTCATCAGTGAGCTCAGTGGTTTGGGAATCAACAAGGATCTCTTGTTCTTGTTGTGTTTCTGCTTCTGTGGTTTCCTCTATGAGTTGGTCAGCACTTTCTTCAGGTGCTATTTCTTCTTCTTCTTTATCTTCACAGACAGGCAAGCTGTCTTGTACTTCTTCTGCTAATTCAATGTCATTGACTTCAGAAAAGCTCTCGTGGAATTCTGGCAATTCGACTGGACTGTCGTCTTGAGTTGCTGGCAGCTCTTCGGCGTTTTTCTGCCAGATTGGTTTAATCCATTCATCGTCAACAGCTTCAGGGCTGGATGGTCTGACCATGAGATCGGAGCTGTCTTTGTCAAAGATTTGAGCCTCAATGACATCTGATGCAGTTGATTGTGATTCTTGAATATAGGTATCTGGAGTGTCTTCCACCTCCTGTGAGAAACTTTCATCAGTGAGCTCAGTGGTTTGGGAATCAACAAGGATCTCTTGTTTTTGTTGTGTTTCTGCTTGTGTGGTTTCCTCTATGAGTTGGTCAGCACTTTGTTCAAGTGCTATTTTTTCTTCTTCTTCTTTATCTTCACAGACAGGCAAGCTGTCTTGTACTTCTTCTGCTAATTCAATGTCATTGACTTCAGAAAAGCTCTCGTGGAATTCTGGCAATTCGACTGGACTGCTGTCTTGAGTTGCTGGCAGCTCTTCGGCGTTTTTCTGCCAGATTGGTTTAATCCATTCATCGTCAACAGCTTCAGGGCTGGATGGTCTGACCATGAGATCGGAGCTGTCTGCGTCAAAGATTTGAGCCTCAATGACATCTGATGCAGTCGATTGTGATTCTGGAATATAGGTATCTGGAGTGTCTTCCACCTCCTGTGAGAAACTTTCATCAGTGAGCTCAGTGGTTTGGGAATCAACAAGGATCTCTTGTTCTTGTTGTGTTTCTGCTTGTGTGGTTTCCTCTATGAGTTGGTCAGCACTTTGCTCAAGTGCTATTTCTTCTTCTTCTTCTTTTTCTTCACAGACAGGCAAGCTGTCTTGTACTTCTTCTGCTAATTCAATGTCATTGACTTCAGAAAAGCTCTCGTGGAATTCTGGCAATTCGACTGGACTGTCGTCTTGAGTTGCTGGCAGCTCTTCAGCGTTTTTCTGCAAGATTGGTTTAATCCATTCATCGTCAACAGCTTCAGGGCTGGATGGTCTGAACATGAGATTGCAGCTGTCTGCGTCAAAGATTTGAGCCTCAATGACATCTGATGCAGTCGATTGTGATTCTGGAATATAGGTATCTGGAGTGTCTTTCACCTCCTGTGAGAAACTTTCATCAGTGAGCTCAGTGGTTTGGGAATCAACAAGGATCTCTTGTTCTTGTTGTGTTTCTGCTTGTGTGGTTTCCTCTATGAGTTGGTCAGCACTTTCTTCAGGTGCTATTTCTTCTTCTTCTTTATCTTCACAGACAGGCAAGCTGTCTTGTACTTCTTCTGCTAATTCAATGTCATTGACTTCAGAAAATCTCTCGTGGAATTCTGGCAATTCGACTGGACTGTCGTCTTGAGTTGCTGGCAGCTCTTCAGCGTTTTTCTGCAAGATTGGTTTAATCCATTCATCGTCAACAGCTTCAGGGCTGGATGGTCTGTCCATGAGATTGCAGCTGTCTGCGTCAAAGATTTGAGCCTCAATGACATCTGATGCAGTCGATTGTGATTCTGGAATATAGGTATCTGGAGTGTCTTCCACCTCCTGTGAGAAACTTTCATCAGTGAGCTCAGTGGTTTGGGAATCAACAAGGATCTCTTGTTCTTGTTGTGTTTCTGCTTGTTTGGTTTCCTCTATGAGTTGGTCAGCACTTTCTTCAGGTGCTATTTCTTCTCCTTCTTTATCTTCACAGACAGGCAAGCTGTCTTGTACTTCTTCTGCTAATTCAATGTCATTGACTTCAGAAAAGCTCTCGTGGAATTCTGGCAATTCGACTGGACTGTCGTCTTGAGTTGCTGGCAGCTCTTCAGCGTTTTTCTGCAAGATTGGTTTAATCCATTCATCGTCAACAGCTTCAGGGCTGGATGGTCTGAACATGAGATTGCAGCTGTCTGCGTCAAAGATTTGAGCCTCGATGACATCTGATGCAGTCGATTGTGATTCTGGAATATAGGTATCTGGAGTGTCTTCCACCTCCTGTGAGAAACTTTCATCAGTGAGCTCAGTGGTTTGGGAATCAACAAGGATCTCTTGTTCTTGTTGTGTTTCTGCTTCTGTGGTTTCCTCTATGAGTTGGTCAGCACTTTCTTCAGGTGCTATTTCTTCTTCTTCTTTATCTTCACAGACAGGCAAGCTGTCTTGTACTTCTTCTGCTAATTCAATGTCATTGACTTCAGAAAAGCTCTCGTGGAATTCTGGCAATTCGACTGGACTGTCGTCTTGAGTTGCTGGCAGCTCTTCGGCGTTTTTCTGCAAGATTGGTTTAATCCATTCATCGTCAACAGCTTCAGGGCTGGATGGTCTGACCATGAGATTGCAGCTGTCTGCGTCAAAGATTTTAGCCTCAATGACATCTGATGCAGTCGATTGTGATTCTGGAATATAGTTATCTGGAGTGTCTTCCACCTCCTGCGAGAAACTTTCATCAGTGAGCTCAGTGGTTTGGGAATCAACAAGGATCTCTTGTTCTTGTTGTGTTTCTGCTTGTGTGGTTTCCTCTATGAGTTGGTCAGCACTTTGTTCAAGTGCTATTTCTTTTTCTTCTTCTTTTTCTTCACAGACAGGCAAGCTGTCTTGTACTTCTTCTGCTAATTCAATGTCATTGACTTCAGAAAAGCTCTCGTGGAATTCTGGCAATTCGACTGGACTGTCGTCTTGAGTTGCTGGCAGCTCTTCAGCGTTTTTCTGCAAGATTGGTTTAATCCATTCATCGTTAACAGCTTCAGGGCTGGATGGTCTGTCCATGAGATTGCAGCTGTCTGCGTCAAAGATTTGAGCCTCAATGACATCTGATGCAGTCGATTGTGATTCTGGAATATAGGTATCTGGAGTGTCTTCCACCTCCTGTGAGAAACTTTCATCAGTGAGCTCAGTGGTTTGGGAATCAACAAGGATCTCTTGTTCTTGTTGTGTTTCTGCTTGTGTGGTTTCCTCTATGAGTTGGTCAGCACTTTCTTCAGGTTCTATTTCTTCTTCTTCTTTATCTTCACAGACAGGCAAGCTGTCTTGTACTTCTTCTGCTAATTCAATGTCATTGACTTCAGAAAAGCTCTCGTGGAATTCTGGCAATTCGACTGGACTGTCGTCTTGAGTTGCTGGCAGCTCTTCGGCGTTTTTCTGCAAGATTTGTTTAATCCATTCATCGTCAACAGCTTCAGGGCTGGATGGTCTGACCTTGAGATTGCAGCTGTCTGCGTCAAAGATTTGAGCCCCAATGACATCTGATGCAGTCGATTGTGATTCTGGAATATAGGTATCTGGAGTGTCTTCCACCTCCTGTGAGAAACTTTCTTCAGTGAGCTCAGTGGTTTGGGAATCAACAAGGATCTCTTGTTCTTGTTGTGTTTCTGCTTGTGTGGTTTCCTCTATGAGTTGGTCAGCACTTTGTTCAAGTGCTATTTCTTCTTCTTCTTTTTCTTCACAGACAGGCAAGCTGTCTTGTACTTCTTCTGCTAATTCAATGTCATTGACTTCAGAAAAGCTCTCGTGGAATTCTGGCAATTCGACTGGACTGTCGTCTTGAGTTGCTGGCAGCTCTTCAGCGTTTTTCTGCAAGATTGGTTTAATCCATTCATCGTCAACAGCTTCAGGGCTGGATGGTCTGAACATGAGATTGCAGCTGTCTGCGTCAAAGATTTGAGCCCCAATGACATCTGATGCAGTCGATTGTGATTCTGGAATATAGGTATCTGGAGTGTCTTCCACCTCCTGTGAGAAACTTTCTTCAGTGAGCTCAGTGGTTTGGGAATCAACAAGGATCTCTTGTTCTTGTTGTGTTTCTGCTTGTGTGGTTTCCTCTATGAGTTGGTCAGCACTTTGTTCAAGTGCTATTTCTTCTTCTTCTTTTTCTTCACAGACAGGCAAGCTGTCTTGTACTTCTTCTGCTAATTCAATGTCATTGACTTCAGAAAAGCTCTCGTGGAATTCTGGCAATTCGACTGGACTGTCGTCTTGAGTTGCTGGCAGCTCTTCAGCGTTTTTCTGCAAGATTGGTTTAATCCATTCATCGTCAACAGCTTCAGGGCTGGATGGTCTGAACATGAGATTGCAGCTGTCTGCGTCAACGATTTGAGCCTCGATGACATCTGATGCAGTCGATTGTGATTCTGGAATATAGGTATCTGGAGTGTCTTCCACCTCCTGTGAGAAACTTTCATCAGTGAGCTCAGTGGTTTGGGAATCAACAAGGATCTCTTGTTCTTGTTGTGTTTCTGCTTCTGTGGTTTCCTCTATGAGTTGGTCAGCACTTTCTTCAGGTGCTATTTCTTCTTCTTCTTTATCTTCACAGACAGGCAAGCTGTCTTGTACTTCTTCTGCTAATTCAATGTCATTGACTTCAGAAAAGCTCTCGTGGAATTCTGGCAATTCGACTGGACTGTCGTCTTGAGTTGCTGGCAGCTCTTCGGCGTTTTTCTGCCAGATTGGTTTAATCCATTCATCGTCAACAGCTTCAGGGCTGGATGGTGTGAACATGAGATTGCAGCTGTCTGCGTCAAAGATTTGAGCCTCGATGACATCTGATGCAGTCGATTGTGATTCTGGAATATAGGTATCTGGAGTGTCTTCCACCTCCTGTGAGAAACTTTCATCAGTGAGCTCAGTGGTTTGGGAATCAACAAGGATCTCTTGTTCTTGTTGTGTTTCTGCTTGTGTGGTTTCCTCTATGAGTTGGTCAGCACTTTGTTCAAGTGCTATTTCTTCTTCTTCTTCTTTTTCTTCACAGACAGGCAAGCTGTCTTGTACTTCTTCTGCTAATTCAATGTCATTGACTTCAGAAAAGCTCTCGTGGAATTCTGGCAATTCGACTGGACTGTCGTCTTGAGTTGCTGGCAGCTCTTCGGCGTTTTTCTGCAAGATTTGTTTAATCCATTCATCGTCAACAGCTTCAGGGCTGGATGGTCTGACCTTGAGATTGCAGCTGTCTGCGTCAAAGATTTGAGCCCCAATGACATCTGATGCAGTCGATTGTGATTCTGGAATATAGGTATCTGGAGTGTCTTCCACCTCCTGTGAGAAACTTTCTTCAGTGAGCTCAGTGGTTTGGGAATCAACAAGGATCTCTTGTTCTTGTTGTGTTTCTGCTTGTGTGGTTTCCTCTATGAGTTGGTCAGCACTTTGTTCAAGTGCTATTTCTTCTTCTTCTTCTTTTTCTTCACAGACAGGCAAGCTGTCTTGTACTTCTTCTGCTAATTCAATGTCATTGACTTCAGAAAAGCTCTCGTGGAATTCTGGCAATTCGACTGGACTGTCGTCTTGAGTTGCTGGCAGCTCTTCAGCGTTTTTCTGCAAGATTGGTTTAATCCATTCATCGTCAACAGCTTCAGGGCTGGATGGTCTGAACATGAGATTGCAGCTGTCTGCGTCAAAGATTTGAGCCTCAATGACATCTAATGCAGTCGATTGTGATTCTGGAATATAGGTATCTGGAGTGTCTTCCACCTCCTGTGAGAAACTTTCATCAGTGAGCTCAGTGGTTTGGGAATCAACAAGGATCTCTTGTTCTTGTTGTGTTTCTGCTTCTGTGGTTTCCTCTATGAGTTGGTCAGCACTTTCTTCAGGTGCTATTTCTTCTTCTTCTTTATCTTCACAGACAGGCAAGCTGTCTTGTACTTCTTCTGCTAATTCAATGTCATTGACTTCAGAAAAGCTCTCGTGGAATTCTGGCAATTCGACTGGACTGTCGTCTTGAGTTGCTGGCAGCTCTTCGGCGTTTTTCTGCCAGATTGGTTTAATCCATTCATCGTCAACAGCTTCAGGGCTGGATGGTCTGACCATGAGATCGGAGCTGTCTGCGTCAAAGATTTGAGCCTCAATGACATCTGATGCAGTCGATTGTGATTCTGGAATATAGGTATCTGGAGTGTCTTCCACCTCCTGTGAGAAACTTTCATCAGTGAGCTCAGTGGTTTGGGAATCAACAAGGATCTCTTGTTCTTGTTGTGTTTCTGCTTGTGTGGTTTCCTCTATGAGTTGGTCAGCACTTTGTTCAAGTGCTATTTCTTCTTCTTCTTTTTCTTCACAGACAGGCAAGCTGTCTTGTACTTCTTCTGCTAATTCAATGTCATTGACTTCAGAAAAGCTCTCGTGGAATTCTGGCAATTCGACTGGACTGTCGTCTTGAGTTGCTGGCAGCTCTTCAGCGTTTTTCTGCAAGATTGGTTTAATCCATTCATCGTCAACAGCTTCAGGGCTGGATGGTCTGAACATGAGATTGCAGCTGTCTGCGTCAAAGATTTGAGCCTCGATGACATCTGATGCAGTCGATTGTGATTCTGGAATATAGGTATCTGGAGTGTCTTCCACCTCCTGTGAGAAACTTTCATCAGTGAGCTCAGTGGTTTGGGAATCAACAAGGATCTCTTGTTCTTGTTGTGTTTCTGCTTCTGTGGTTTCCTCTATGAGTTGGTCAGCACTTTCTTCAGGTGCTATTTCTTCTTCTTCTTTATCTTCACAGACAGGCAAGCTGTCTTGTACTTCTTCTGCTAATTCAATGTCATTGACTTCAGAAAAGCTCTCGTGGAATTCTGGCAATTCGACTGGACTGTCGTCTTGAGTTGCTGGCAGCTCTTCGGCGTTTTTCTGCCAGATTGGTTTAATCCATTCATCGTCAACAGCTTCAGGGCTGGATGGTCTGACCATGAGATCGGAGCTGTCTTTGTCAAAGATTTGAGCCTCAATGACATCTGATGCAGTTGATTGTGATTCTTGAATATAGGTATCTGGAGTGTCTTCCACCTCCTGTGAGAAACTTTCATCAGTGAGCTCAGTGGTTTGGGAATCAACAAGGATCTCTTGTTCTTGTTGTGTTTCTGCTTGTGTGGTTTCCTCTATGAGTTGGTCAGCACTTTGTTCAAGTGCTATTTTTTCTTCTTCTTCTTTATCTTCACAGACAGGCAAGCTGTCTTGTACTTCTTCTGCTAATTCAATGTCATTGACTTCAGAAAAGCTCTCGTGGAATTCTGGCAATTCGACTGGACTGCTGTCTTGAGTTGCTGGCAGCTCTTCGGCGTTTTTCTGCCAGATTGGTTTAATCCATTCATCGTCAACAGCTTCAGGGCTGGATGGTCTGACCATGAGATCGGAGCTGTCTGCGTCAAAGATTTGAGCCTCAATGACATCTGATGCAGTCGATTGTGATTCTGGAATATAGGTATCTGGAGTGTCTTCCACCTCCTGTGAGAAACTTTCATCAGTGAGCTCAGTGGTTTGGGAATCAACAAGGATCTCTTGTTCTTGTTGTGTTTCTGCTTGTGTGGTTTCCTCTATGAGTTGGTCAGCACTTTGCTCAAGTGCTATTTCTTCTTCTTCTTCTTTTTCTTCACAGACAGGCAAGCTGTCTTGTACTTCTTCTGCTAATTCAATGTCATTGACTTCAGAAAAGCTCTCGTGGAATTCTGGCAATTCGACTGGACTGTCGTCTTGAGTTGCTGGCAGCTCTTCAGCGTTTTTCTGCAAGATTGGTTTAATCCATTCATCGTCAACAGCTTCAGGGCTGGATGGTCTGTCCATGAGATTGCAGCTGTCTGCGTCAAAGATTTGAGCCTCAATGACATCTGATGCAGTCGATTGTGATTCTGGAATATAGGTATCTGGAGTGTCTTTCACCTCCTGTGAGAAACTTTCATCAGTGAGCTCAGTGGTTTGGGAATCAACAAGGATCTCTTGTTCTTGTTGTGTTTCTGCTTGTGTGGTTTCCTCTATGAGTTGGTCAGCACTTTCTTCAGGTGCTATTTCTTCTTCTTCTTTATCTTCACAGACAGGCAAGCTGTCTTGTACTTCTTCTGCTAATTCAATGTCATTGACTTCAGAAAATCTCTCGTGGAATTCTGGCAATTCGACTGGACTGTCGTCTTGAGTTGCTGGCAGCTCTTCAGCGTTTTTCTGCAAGATTGGTTTAATCCATTCATCGTCAACAGCTTCAGGGCTGGATGGTCTGTCCATGAGATTGCAGCTGTCTGCGTCAAAGATTTGAGCCTCAATGACATCTGATGCAGTCGATTGTGATTCTGGAATATAGGTATCTGGAGTGTCTTCCACCTCCTGTGAGAAACTTTCATCAGTGAGCTCAGTGGTTTGGGAATCAACAAGGATCTCTTGTTCTTGTTGTGTTTCTGCTTGTTTGGTTTCCTCTATGAGTTGGTCAGCACTTTCTTCAGGTGCTATTTCTTCTCCTTCTTTATCTTCACAGACAGGCAAGCTGTCTTGTACTTCTTCTGCTAATTCAATGTCATTGACTTCAGAAAAGCTCTCGTGGAATTCTGGCAATTCGACTGGACTGTCGTCTTGAGTTGCTGGCAGCTCTTCAGCGTTTTTCTGAAAGATTGGTTTAATCCATTCATCGTCAACAGCTTCAGGGCTGGATGGTCTTTCCATAAGATTGCAGCTGTCTGCGTCAAAGATTTGAGCCTCGATGACATCTGATGCAGTCGATTGTGATTCTGGAATATAGGTATCTGGAGTGTCTTCCACCTCCTGTGAAAAACTTTCATCAGTGAGCTCAGTGGTTTGGGAATCAACAAGGATCTCTTGTTCTTGTTGTGTTTCTGCTTGTTTGGTTTCCTCTATGAGTTGGTCAGCACTTTCTTCAGGTGCTATTTCTTCTCCTTCTTTATCTTCACAGACAGGCAAGCTGTCTTGTACTTCTTCTGCTAATTCAATGTCATTGACTTCAGAAAAGCTCTCGTGGAATTCTGACAATTCGACTGGACTGTCGTCTTGAGTTGCTGGCAGCTCTTCAGCATTTTTCTGCAAGATTGGTTTAATCCATTCATCGTCAACAGCTTCAGGGCTGGATGGTCTGTCCATGAGATTGCAGCTGTCTGCGTCAAAGATTTGAGCCTCAATGACATCTGATGCAGTCGATTGTGATTCTGGAATATAGGTATCTGGAGTGTCTTCCACCTCCTGTGAGAAACTTTCATCAGTGAGCTCAGTGGTTTGGGAATCAACAAGGATCTCTTGTTCTTGTTGTGTTTCTGCTTGTGTGGTTTCCTCTATGAGTTGGTCAGCACTTTCTTCAGGTGCTATTTCTTCTTCTTCTTTATCTTCACAGACAGGCAAGCTGTCTTGTACTTCTTCTGCTAATTCAATGTCATTGACTTCAGAAAAGCTCTCGTGGAATTCTGGCAATTCGACTGGACTGTCGTCTTGAGTTGCTGGCAGCTCTTCAGCGTTTTTCTGCAAGATTGGTTTAATCCATTCATCGTCAACAGCTTCAGGGCTGGATGGTCTGTCCATGAGATTGCAGCTGTCTGCGTCAAAGATTTGAGCCTCAATGACATCTGATGCAGTCGATTGTGATTCTGGAATATAGGTATCTGGAGTGTCTTTCACCTCCTGTGAGAAACTTTCATCAGTGAGCTCAGTGGTTTGGGAATCAACAAGGATCTCTTGTTCTTGTTGTGTTTCTGCTTGTGTGGTTTCCTCTATGAGTTGGTCAGCACTTTCTTCAGGTGCTATTTCTTCTTCTTCTCTACGTTCATCGCTGGACGTTGTTGATAAGATCTTATTTTCTTTTTTATTCTCTAAAATATCATCAGTCATTTCTTTCATAATTTCTTTGACAATATTATCAGCTAAATTAATAATATTGTCAGATTGAATCGATTCAATGTTTGTAGTTTCGTCATTTGGAATGTGTATTTGGATTTTTTCTTCATGTAGTTGAATATAGTTTTTAGGATCAGTATGCGCCTGTATGTGAAAAATTGCTTCACGTCTTGGTGGATGAAAACGAATCACTGCTTCTGTATAGACGTTGTGACGGATCTTCTTTTTTCTAGCTAGCAACGCTAATGTTTTAGTGAATACTGCTGGTCTTTCGTCGTTTTCTAAAAAGTCCTTTAAAACAATGGAATCTGTGGTATATTTCATTATTGGGTCTCTTGGTGATGAGAGAAGTCGAACATAAAAATGCTGCTGCTTAAGCTGACAATCTTCTTCATCTTCTAAATATCCCTTTGTCGCTGATACAAAGTGTCTTTCTACGTCGCTAGAGTATTCTTGTTCTGTACTTTGAATGTTTTCATCACTAATTGAATCATCAAAGCTCTGGATCTCTTTTCCATTCTGAGAGAAACTTGAACTCAGAGACGATGGTTTTTCTGATGAAGCTTCATTTGTGTTTGCTAACGTCGAATCGGGCTTCTCATTTTCGGATAGATGTAATGTTTCATCTTCTTTTTCTTCTTCGCAGCATTTGTTTTTTACCTCTGCTGATTCAGCGTCTATTAATGTTTTCGATTTTTTTTCACGGAGGTCGATTAGTCCATGATCGAATTCTTTTGATCCCACTTTGTCGAATTCTGTCTTTTCTACTTGGTCTTGTGTTATAAGCAAATCATCTTCATCAACCAGGAAGCCTTCAGTTTTCTTTTCACTTGAGATTATAAGTAATGGAGTATCTTTCCCTTCATACTCTTCTAAATACTCCTCCGGATTTCGGCTGATAACAGTGATGACACTGCTGTTAGTAGATGCTGAGCTTTCTAAATCGAATGTCGAGTCTGCCGATACTATGCTCTGTTGATCTTCAGAACTGTACATCATCATTTCTTTTAGTGAGTCTTCATACTGGTCGCTGAAAGTTGTATCCATTGTTATGAGACCCATATCAGATTCGGATAAAAACTCCATGTAGGTTTCATTGACCAGGTGTTCGTATTTCTGAGCAAGGGAAGAGCGTGTAGGGACTTTGTTTCCTGGCAAGTTATCGACTGCTTCTTCTTTTATCTTCGTATTGTCATTATGTCTCTTTGTTTCTAAAACGTGTAGCAGAGACTCGTCTGTACCTTTGTTTCCAACGTTTTCGTTGTCTATAGGTGTCTTGTCGTGGCTTAGTTCTCTAAAAACACTATCTTTGTTTTGATCGCCAATAGAATTTTCTTGGGTTTTTTCGTCAAGAACTCCCTCGTAAGTTAGGCGTTGGTCCTCTATAAACGTGTTAATATCATCGCTTTGACCACTTTGGTCTGTGGGCAGTTGATCGTGGAATGTGTGGTGACTGGACGGTTCTGTGTTGCTAGATACATTTTGTGTTTCTTGTATGGAAGTTTGTTCACTTAACGTATAATCTCTATCCTCATCGAGTATTGTCGTTTCAAGTGGTAGTTCTTGTTCAGTCATCTTTAGACAGCTAGTATCACTGACAAATACATCTTCTGTTGCGATTGGCAACGTGGGTTGCGTTTGTTCTGAGGTTGTTACGGCAATACTATTTTCATCATGTAATGCGTCTATTAAAAAGCCAGAATCAGCAGTAACTATTGATAAGTCAGATCTGGTTTCTCTTTGGCTAACATCCAGTCTTGTAGACATTGTATTTTCATTGAATGTTTGGCCATCATCAGTTTTCGACATCTCCCCGTCCGATGTAAGTGGTTTGGTCTCCAGATTACTTTCTTCGACGGATAGTGTTTGGTCAAGTGGGAATGATTGGTTCGATTGTGATTTGTTTAGAATCAAATCGTTTGTCTGGAAGGCGTTTTGTGGTTCCTGAGATAATGTCTCACCATTGGTACTCACTTCAAAAGGCACTGTGTTGGTAATGTGTTTGGACGTATTTTCTGTGGAGGCACTTTCAGATGATTCAAACCTATGCAGCAGCTTAATTGGCGAGCAACTCTCGGTTTCTTCATTTGCCGAGCTCTCAAATCGGGTAGTTTCTGTCAATTCTGGGTAAATGTCTTCATTATTTGAATCATTTTCAACAATTGTATCCAGTACGGTTATCTCGTCTGTCGTGTTTTCTGCAAAGCTGTTTGAAATGCTGATGCTCAGCTCAGTTGGTAAGCTTTTGCTTTTTGGTATTGAAAATTCATGATCATAGTCAGATGTTTCAGATAAACTTAAAGACCCGGTGTTGTTCTTTTTCGCGAGCCTCTCTAATCGTTCTGATTCTGAATTAGATGGTGAGATAAAGGCATCATCCAAAGCATCAGTGTCATCTACTGGTGTGCTGATTCTGTCTGGTGGTTTACCAAACAAGAACGGGCTGCCCCTGGTTAAATGTGGTCCTTGTGCTGCAATGCGTTCTTCGGCGCTGCATGTCATATTGTCGACGGAACTGCTGAACTTACTTAAATCTATTCTTCTTTTATAAATAGAGTACTGCCTTGAACACGTTTTGATAAAATCGTCATCAGAGCAGCTAATGCTTAATGGTGGAGGTGAGATTGTTATATCATCAACTGAGGAGCTGTATTCTCCGTGGATGCTAGCATTGTCAAAGCCATGTGCACCAAACTGTTCCAGCGCGTCCTTTGTGCTTTCTGGATTAGAATGGTATCTGGAAGACCGGGGGTTGCCGCCTCTGTATCTAAGACGCAGTGGACTTTCTGTGTCTGAGGAAATTCTACTAAGGTCATCGACGGAAGAACTGAGATCTGACTCAATAGATCTGCTTGGAGGAGACTGGCTTTGTGGGTACATGTACAGGTCGTCAACAGAAGTACTCAGCTCATTGGCTGATGACTTCTTTTTAATTTCGTTATCGAGTGGTCTGTGTTCGATTAGTGAGGAATTATCGGTGTTCTCAAGACTTTGATAGAACTCGTACTGTCTCTGCTCAAAGCTCTGATTGACTGGAGTTCCATAAACAGGCGTTGCATTATCATAATCGGAATCGGTGTTTGGAATGGGGTTGGTCTGCATTGCGTTGGTCATCTCCATAGTAGTGCTCAGCTGTCTGTTGTCTAAAACTTCATTAAAACTATCACTGTCTCCGCCTTCATCGGTGTTATCGCCGTCTTCCTCTACCGACATGGTCTCTGACGAGGAAAGCGCATCAGAACTTTGGAATAGTTCCGAGTCCAGTTCAGATGATGTGGAGTTATACATGCCTGTATCATCACTTGCTGACATGTCCGTATCACAGCCGGGAGATAAAAGTGCCGAGGCCCCGTCACATCGTTCCGGGGAAAGTGCATAGTGGTCAGTGTTATAGCCTTGGTCTCTCGTAATGTCCGTTACATTATCTTGCTTCCGTATCTTCACTCGTCTATGTGCATCCAATTCCATACGATGCTTGTGGGTTTTTTCCTTGAAGGATTGGGTCGATTGAAGTGAAAGCTCTTTGGTCTGGGCACTTGTGGTTTCGGTGAAATGTCCACCTTCTTTTTTAAACTCTTCTCTTGTTTTTGTAGTCGTCATTGGTTTTGTTATTTCTGGTGATGTTAGTGCTTTTCCTGACTGATTAAGATTCGAAACATTTGAATCACGTTCCATTTCCCTAAAGGCAGGCTTGTTGCGCCATTCTTGTTCGTCGACAGGATCTCCTTCCTCGCCACGAACCAGCTCATCTATTTTCTCAGCGAGTGACTCGGTCGAGACTTCCTCGCTCAGCAGCTGATCGGCTATGGGTGCGTGGATGATGTCACTCATCCACTGTTTAAGAAACTCCTTGTTCTTTTCTTCCTCCTCCCGTAGTTCTTCTTGGTCTTTGTTAAAAGCCCAAGCCCAGCTGTATTCATTAGCCCATTGTTCGTCTTCTTGGGGTAACTGCTCGGGCGGCGGTTCGGGGGATGGAGGTGGTCGCATGAATTCGGCTTGCAAACTCTGGGTTATGCTCTCTTGTCTCTGCGAGTAAATTTGGCATTTATATATAAAAATCTTGGTATAAACCAAGAAAACATAACAAAAATTAAATAAATTAGAAAAAAAAAATTTTTAATGTGTATTGAACATGTGTTAGTAGTAGGTGCTAGTGATCCTGGTTTCAGTCCTTATTAAAGCTAGCAGTGGTTAATTTTATACTAAGCTAAAGATATACGTGAATGATTAATGTGAACAATTGTTGAATTAAAAACTGACAAAATTTTCAGCAGAGACAAAAAGACAATTACAACTGCAAGTAGTGACGTAGCTCTCTTATTTTCTTGATTATGCGCCCTTCTCCCACCAACTATTTTAAATTCTCCCACCAAACGACTACCCCCCCCCCCCCCCCAACCCCTCCACACACACACCAATAGAAGCCAACCATTCTTTTTGGCTATTTTTGTTAGTACTTTTGCCAAGTTTAAATACAAAATTTTTGAAAAGATTTTTTATTATCGAGATCAGATTAAAACAACTGCTGATTTGACAAATACCCTAAGAGTAAGTCTGCCATCGAGAAAATTACATATACTTTATGATAATTGCAATGCCGCTGTTCGTTGTTTTTTTTTTTTAAGTAGGCCTATAGAATCAATGCACTGTGCTCCGGTTTAAAAAAGCAAAAACTTTTATCAATGACGAAACTTAAGTAATCATGTGGCAATAGCTGTTATATTAAAAATACATTTCTTTTTGCAATGGTGTAGCTATGTGGGGGTGGTTCACCCCATTCCACTAAACACATACATAATGATACATCGAGAGTAGATGAATTTATTATTAATTTGATAGAGCAGATAGACACAGGTTCTGTCTTTGGAATGGAAAGCTATGTATGATGTGAACCATTGTATTTTGGGTAGAACTTAAAAGACCAAGAAAATATTGACCAATTTCGAGTTCATCGAATTCCTTAGTGCTTGTTCGGTTTATAGCTCTACCTATATATACTATAGATCCGCCCAAAACGTTTGAAGTAGGGGTCCAGGTGTTGCCCGCACCCCATGAAGAGAATCTAGACTTGTTTGTACAACACGTTGGCCAAATTGTCTTATCTCATCCTCCTCTGTTCACTGGCATTTAGCCACGACTATTAGAGCTGTGGGATTTGCTTCTTATTTCTACCTCCATTCTCCGAATGTCGTGTCTTTTTGTTCTTATAGACTAGCCCCAGTTCTGTACGCAGCCTGATGTAGGACATTATCAAATATTGATGTCGAATAAGTGTGCACCAACATTAACCGCGATGCAACTGCACAGAGAAACTTGGCAGGTATTGACGTCTTACGATATCGCAGGTTTCAAGCAGACACAAAACACACGCGTTGGCAGACAGCTTGGCTTATGGCAGAAGGTGAACAATTTAAAACAAAATCTGCGGAACGTATGTTCAGTCTTGCCACTTTACATCCATTCACACTCTGAAACTTTTATGTTCTTAAATTTGAAACAAAGATTTTGTCTTGTCAACAGGGTTTCTTCCAGAAAGAATGTCTACCGCCCCCCCCCCCCCCCCCGAACTAAATTGAATTTATATAGAAAATATATACTTTTAACGGTGTCCGCCCCCCCCCCCCGAAAATTTTAGCCACACCCCCCCCCCCCTCCAAAATTTAATGTGCCCGCCTCACCCCCTCCCCCCCCCCCCCCCAAGAAAAAAGTCTGGTAGAAACACTACTTGTCAAAGCGATATTGATTTTAAATCACCCATTATTTCTGTAACTTCGTGTCACGGTGTCACGCTATTTAGAATTATCATTTTTAAAACGCAGTTATGCAAGTGCTTTTAGCGCAGTCATTACGTTCATCAAATTCGCATTATATTTCATTTTTTTTTTAATTATGGGGTTTTTTTTACATTTGACAACAACGACTCGTATCTCGATTTGAATCCAGTTTTAAGCTCGAATAACCTAATCAATAGAACATTTGTATTGATTGGACTGACTGTTTGTTCAATAATGCTCGTTAGCTGCAAACTAATTCCTTCCAGGTTTCCGTTTGTTGAGTAACTGGGTGAGCTTGATTGCGATAATATGGGCGTGGCTAGCATGTTTTTAACGCTAGATCATGTCCTAACATTTGCTTCCCTCTATATAAGACATTGTTGACTTCCAGCTTAGCTTGTTTTTATTGCTGTCATTTAGCTGGACATGTTCTGTCTCTTCATCTCAAGCTAGATGTACTTTGCTGTTAGCTTTAAGCGATACCACCTACATTAAATTATATCAGAGCAGGATTGATTAAAGGACTTGTTAGTTTACAACTCAGCTAGGAATGTTCAGTGGTGTCTCACAATTATTGTGACATGTTTTCGACGCAGACCGGCCTAAATTACAGCTAGCTCGGTATATAAAATGTGTGAGATAATTGAGATTTAGCTAGTTATCACAAATACATGTATTAAAAATGTTAATTCTAATGTTTTATGTGGAAAGTAAAACAACTATTCTGGTATGTGGTATAAAGGGGGGGGGGGTAGCTGATGTTCACGTTCACAGACAGGCCTCTCAAGAGTTGAAACCCCTGGCTTAAATAGTAAACATGCTTGGAATTTTCTGATTCTCTTTATCGGGATCAGGGATTGTCCAGAGCTGAATACCCAGAGCTGGTGCCAACACGTCAGATAAACCATACAGGCAACATGCAAGTTTAATTATGGATTTTTTTTTACATTGTTACAAAAATAAAAAGAAGGGGGGGGGGGGGCTTTTTTTATCAAACTAAAAAAAAAACCACACCATGTATAAATAATAAGGTGAAGAGGGAGAGAAGAGTAAAAAGGAATATTACTTTACCGATAAATTGACGCACTAAGATAAGAATTTGTTAACCCAACAATTTACAAAATCCCCCCCCCCCCCCCCCCCCCCCCACCCAGGGCTTAGAATGAGTGATGGCTGTGTGCTGAAAATGATTAATAAGTGAGCAAACATGTAACGTAAGGTTAAACAACTAGATGGGAATACCGGTATAGATCATAAGTACCGCGTATAGAACTATAAAAAGAAATGCCGATCAAGATATGCTTTGTCAAAGATAAAAGAGAACCACATCTTTCCTCCCTTTAGCCAGCGTTCCCCAGATTCGTACCTGGATATCTATAGGTTATTGTTTACGTAATCTACACGGGGTTATCTGCCCGATAGTGTCTGCGTCATCGAAATTTATCTGTAAATCGATTGGTTGTTCTAAAAATACGTCATCCCGGGTGGAATTCTGGGAGGTAGATAAGAAGGCCAGATAATTTAGACACCTTTGTGTACATGTTTTCCCTGCTCGTTTATCTGTGTCCATCGTTGATGGGATAGAGGCGGAGGCTGTATACATGTGATCTCAACATGGAGTTACGGGTGGTAAACTACACTCAAATAAAACGATAAAACATGTAAGAAGTTTTTATAAATTGTATAAGGGAATCGTTTATGTGGGTGTCGTTGGTGGGCAATCGTTGTGTTGGATCGTACCTAGATGTGCCATCTTTCAGATTTTTGCCTAAAGGTTGCAGCAATGTAAAATTCGTACTAATCGATTAGCCAAACCCATTTATTAATTAAGCTAATAACGCAGAAAAATATTCACCTAATTTTGACCAAAAAGGACACAATTCTAATTAATTATTAATTTTAATAATGACACCATCCTCATAGGTGGATTCGGACAGGTACATTGGATGCCACCCCACCACTATAAATAATTAGAAAATAATTTGCGAAATCTGTACTCATAAAAATTTAACTATTCTTTTGTATATTTGTCTATTTTATGGTTTCTTATTTTAAATTAAGTGTTCTAAATGTGTATTATTATTTATATCTACAAATATGGACTTAGCCCCACCTCAACATATACATTAATTTATATAAGCCCACTCCTCCAAAACTAAAAGGCTAGGCCCGCCTATGACTAATTTTAAACCCCCTTGCAAACATTTAGATAAGGCTAATCACTAAGAACGTGCAATTAGTTCCTTTTCCAGACTGCTAATTTGTATTGACCTATGACCTTTTGCTGGTCTTTGATTGGGTTGCCCCGTATGAAGATAACGCGGCGACCTTACTAAAAAAAACGCTTGCAGTTGTCAGAGAAAGTCTTACAGTAAACGTTACGGACAACACGGGAGCAACGATGTTACTCACTTCGTGAAAAGACGCCAGCTTCTTCACGTGTCTCGAGTCTTCCTTGACCTGGGTGCTCTCTTCTGCGACGTCCGTGCGCGTGGAATGTGCAGACGTCTCGGACTCCTTGCTTCGCCACGGCTTCAGCTGTGACGGCAGTGGTGACCCTGACCCTGACCTCTGGTCCCATCTAGTGGGTGACATTCTGACCTCCATAATGGAGTCGTTCAACAGTTTCTGAAAGGATATATATATATATATATATATATATATATATATATATATATATATATATATATATATATATATATATATATATATAGGCCTATATATATATCCTATATATATACATACACACACACACACATATATATATATATATATATATATATATATATATATATATATTTATATATATATATATATATCACATCAATAATGCTCAAGTATACCCATCTTGTAAATGTAGACGATGTTCGCCTAAAAGAAATACCATCCTGTACAGTGCAGGTCAATTTCGTTAAAGAAAGATCTCTTTATTTTATATGTCCCATTGACTGACCTCTGATTTAATTATCTTATGGATAGGAAGGCCATTAAAATTAATTAGATTTTTAAGGTGATGTTTGTGGTCTAGAGACTTGACCCACCTTGGCTAAATTGATCTGCCTGCGTTGACCAGAGATGACCAGGTAACTCTGCTCTCCCCTGACGTCCATGGAAGATTCCAGGCACACCTTGGTACCTGAGTACCTGGAGACCCGTTCCAGCCCCGCCCCGTCCTCACCTGTGGGGAGAAATATGGGGATTTAGGTGAAGATATCTACAGTATGGGGCATTCTAAACATAGGTCTTTGTGTGGAGGCATTAACAGTATGGGGCATTCTAAACATAGGTCTTTGTGTGGAGGCATTAACAGTATAGGGCATTCTAAACATAGGTCTTTGTGTGGAGGCATTAACAGTATGGGGCATTCTAAACATAGGTCTTTGTGTGGAGGCATTAACAGTATGGGGCATTCTAAACATAGGTCTTTGTGTGGAGGCATTAACAGTATAGGGCATTCTAAACATAGGTCTTTGTGTGGAGGCATTAACAGTATAGGGCATTCTAAACATAGGTCTTTGTGTGGAGGCATTAACAGTATGGGGCATTCTAAACATAGGTCTTTGTGTGGAGGCATTAACAGTATAGGGCATTCTAAACATAGGTCTTTGTGTGGAGGCATTAACAGTATAGGGCATTCTAAACATAGGTCTTTGTGTGGAGGCATTAACAGTATGGGGCATTCTAAACATAGGTCTTTGTGTGGAGGCATTAACAGTATAGGGCATTCTAAACATAGGTCTTTGTGTGGAGGCATTAACAGTATGGGGCATTCTAAACATAGGTCTTTGTGTGGAGGCATTAACAGTATAGGGCATTCTAAACATAGGTCTTTGAGTGGAGGTACCGACGGTATACTAGGGCATACTAAACTAAACGTAGGTTTAGTGTAAGTAGCAACAGTATGGGGCATTCTAAACAAAGGTCTTTGTTGAGTGAAGGCATCAACAGTATAGGGCATACTAAACTAAATTTAGGTCTTTTAGTGTAAGTATCACCAATTTAGGGTATTTGAAACAAAGGTCTTTGAGAGGAGGCATCAACAGTATAGGGCATACTAAACATAAGTTTTTGAGTGAATTCATCATCAATGTAGGGTATATGAAACATGGATCTTTTAGTGAAAGTATCAACAATATAGGGTATAAAGAACAAATAAGGCATTATTAACACCGATAAACACTAAATGTTTTAATTGTCCTCAGTAGTATAGATAATAAATTTATAAAGCTCTTTGTACGAAAAATGCGAAGACCTTAAACAACGTAGGGTATACATAGCACGTCGGCTTTCAGTTAATATTTGAAGAAGACTTCAACAGTGAGTCTACTCAAATATGACCGACACAGTGGCGTAGGCAGGGGGGGGGGGTTAGGGGGGGTCATAACCCCCCCCCCCCCCATAGACCCCTCGGTATATATATAAAAAGTATGAGGGGGGGGTGCAAATCGAAAGTTTGAGGGGGGGGGGTGCAAATCGAAAGTTTGAGGGGGGGGGGTGCAAATCGAAAGTTTGAGGGGGGGTGCAAATCGAAAGTTTGAGGGGGGGGGGGGTGCAAATCGAAAGTTTGAGGGGGGGGGTGCAAATCGAAAGTTTGAGGGGGGGTGCAAATCGAAAGTTTGTCCCCGGGTAAAAATTGGAACCCCCCCCCCCCCTTGAGACGATCCTGGCTACGCCACTGGACCGACATTTATGGATTGAAATGCTATGATGCACACAAGAACGTTTTTTGTAGTCAGATGTGAGTTATTTTAATTTTTTCATTGGCTGTTAAATAAGTTTGAATTTTAAATATTGTTAAAGGTAACTCCAATGTGTAGCATGTATGGGGTTAATGAAGAAAACCTTGAAAAACTTGGTCAAACTATTTTTATGTGGCAATGTTGTTTAGACAAACTTGAGCTAGCATGGAACTAATTGCTTCACTCGCTGTCAAGGTAAATATAGACCTAGACAAGTTATAACTGCACCAGTTGTGTCTAAATTTATGCTCTTCTCTAGGTGCATCCAGTGCTGTTGTTGATGACAAACGTATGTCAGACATTGCTATTTTTTGTATGGAAATTGTTAGTGGTGAAGTCAGCGTTTCTTTTAGACTTTTTCCCCCCGGGAGGGGGGGAGTGAGGGCGCTAGACTTTCTTCGGGGGTGGGGGGGGGGGGGGGCGGACACTGTTAAATGTATATATTTTCTATATAAATTCCATTTCCTTCGGGGGGGGGGGGGGCGGTAGACAGAGATGCCTGGAAGAAACTGGGTGAAGTCTTAAATATTGGCGTTGGTTTGGTTTAGCCAACCTTCCAGAGTTAGAACAAGAAACACGAGTCAATGGGATTACAATTAGGCTGCGAGTACAGTAAATCTCTTTTACAAACAGCATTAATTATCAAGATAATACAACCAGTTACTTCACATACATTTATCTATATGTAGTAAAAAAAATATGGACAACTTAAATCAAAGTACAACGTATTTCCCAACATTATTTTAGTCAGTGAACAGCGCCATTAGCTTCATTACGGCTAATCAAAGCCATGTTTCTCGGGCAGTCACGTGACTCACCTACGATCCTGTCGACCAGGCGAGATGGCACCGCTACCACCTCTTCTATGACTGGTTCCGACATCCTCCTCTCGTGTGTGTGTGTGTGTTGTCTTGGTCCTCTGTTGCGAGGGCACCAAGTGTCCTAGTCCTTAGGTCTGTGCTTGTGACTGCATAGAAGAAGAGAAAAAAAAAGTTAAAGACGTCAGTACAGGACGGTTAAACCCAGCTGTGTGATGACGTCACCTGTTTAAAGAGGCGACACTCACGTCCACCCGATGGAGATCAGGTGTTGAATGGATGCTCTGTGTGAAGGTGAGCAGCTCTAGCGCACGTACATCCCCCACCTTGTGTTTGCCAAGTCCCCTCTTTGATTCGTTCAAACATGTTCTATTTTTAGACCCCGCGTGATTCATGACGTGGCGGATCGAGTTGGCAGCGGGTTCGCCCGTCTGTGACGTAACTCAGACATCCACAATAACAAATTTAATCGGTCGCTAGTAGATGTAGGTACGGTGTAGTGTGTATTTTCATAGTGTCTCTTGTCACGTGACTTGGTCTATTAATAGTAGAGCAACAAACTTGCTCACCCGGGGGTAAACTACTTGACCATCTCTAAATAAACACTTTGAACCTACGGCATAAGATGTTGCAACCACTCTCTGCCACTTATGATACGCGTTGTCGGACGGTAGAGCGTACGACCCGAAAGTCTCGAGTTCGGATCCCGGATCAGAGTCTACCTGTCACACAGAACACTCACCACTTGTAGGTACCTGACTGACAATAAGAGAAAGTCAATGTGAATGGGCCTAGAATTAAACACATTATTTCTGCAGTGGTTACTCATACAGATGAACGCTACTTTATCTGCCCTATTGAACGATAGGTCCCATAAAACACGATCCCGTAATTTGTAAGTAATTTCGTTTGTAATAATGTTAACTTTTCTTAAACCAGGACAGATTGGGCAATTCTGGCTTACATCGGTAACTGTTGGTAAATAACGTAAATTGGGGATCAAGTTTACATTGTTTTAAAGCAATGTAATTTTTATTTTAAATTCTCTAACTCTAAAAATACTCAGTAAATACGGCCATGTTTCTTGACGTTGCTTTTAGCAGCGCCTCGGGACAACTGCGCTGGTGGCCCGGGCAAGACTCAAGACGTTCCTAGGCCAGATCCTGTCCCCAGGCGGTGCCAGAGCCAGACACTCCCCACCCCCACCCCAAACACTCCCCGCCCCCACCCCAAAACACTCCCCCACCCCAAAACACTCCCCGCCCCCACCCCAAACACTCCCCGCCCCCACCCCAAAACACTCCCCCACCCCAAACACTCCCCGCCCCCACCCCACAGGTTATAGCTGCCAACGTGCCAGACCCTCTTGTCCCACACAGCCCCTGGGTGTCGTAAACTTCAAACTTCATGTAGCTGAACCAGATCACAACTGGGCTATCTCATAGAGACACTTCGTTTGTTCTAGGCGCTTTGGTGTCATCGAACTAAAATAAAATCTACTTAAACTAACAATTACTTGCTTTCATTGACCGCCCCGTCTTTTTTCATGATAAGTGATACTAGTTTTGAAGGAGTATGAGTATAATTTTTTTTGTTCTTTTTTTTGTGGCGTTTATGGTTAAAATATTGTAAAACATTTTTCTTACCTGACATACCTGTAAATCCCCCCCCCCCCCCCCCCCAATCCCACAATTCACCTGTCTTCAAATCTCTCAAGGTTACAAAAGCTCCTTCTATATTTCCCAGAGGTAAGCACAATACCAAATGTTTTTTAAAAGATGAAAGTTTCAGAAGGAAGGGCTGGAAGGTTGAGCTCAATACGAAACACACGCAGTTCCTGCTTGATAAAAGTTGCTATGAACGATAACTCTGCTAGTCTGGCTAGTCACTATAGGCGTTGTCTCCCTTCGTATCTAGACCGCCATTATGTATGTTGTAGTAACGTTAATTGTTTTTATAATCTCTTGTTCCACATTTGTTTTCGCTCTAAGCCGCCCCGTACACGTTGACTCATTGGGTCCCAGCCTCTCCACTGTGGCTGTTTCTTCTCTTCTCCGCTATTTCCCATATCCCGTTTGTGTACACCCACACCCAGTTTACATCTTGCGTATGTGTACATCAGCACCCATTGTACATACGTACACCCACACCATCAGCTGTGTGGAGCAGAGGCGTAGCGACCCTTCCCGGCGCCCGGGGACAAACTTTTCGATTTGCACCCCCTCCCCTCAAACTTTCGATTTGCACCCCCCTCAACCTTTCAATTTATTTTTCCAACCCATTTTGGCGCCCCCTAAGGTCGGCGCCCAGGACATATGTCCCCCCCCCCTCGCTACGCTACTGGTGTGGAGAGAGTGGGCCTGATACATGGGCACCATCTGGCTCTTCTAAACTTAAGTCCCAGGCTTTTTGCTTGGATTTCGATTGCGCAATCACCCAATGGTCTATGTGTATATTATTTTCTTATTATAACACCCTTTATACAAGTGAAAGTTATCGAAAATTGTACAAGTTTACATATACACCCATTTTACACTTGTACATTTGCCAAAAGAAAAAACAGTAAATTTAGTATCCCCTGATTAAATAAAAAAATGATTGCCTGTTGCATGCTCGATGTCCAATTTTCTGAATAAAACAAAGGAGCTAATTCGGTGAACAGCTTTGATTTGAGCCTGTTATTATCTTAAGACTGGCCTAAAAATACCTGAGCGCCATCAGATGAACCTACCTGACGTGGATAAACTTTGGGGCGCTTTTTATTTTGGCACAACTCTAACGCTTACTCGGCGATATTTTCATCCACCAGTACCTAATGTTCTGCTGCCACGGGAAGATAACTCGTATCTACTTTATTATGTCCCTTTGTGACTAGCTGGTCACATACAGTATATCCATCAGGATATTTATAAACTTTTTTACAATAAATGAGTCGCCATTTGAAATTAACAACATAATGTGTTATTTTAGGCTAGAACTAGGACATTATGTTATTATTTGTTACTGTTACAATATTAGCCCCGCAAGAAAATACGAATTTTACTTGGTTAAAAAAAGCGAAAAAAAAATTAGCATAGAAAATGGACGCTGTGTGTATAGAAAGGGGGTGGGGGAGGAGAGAAGGGAGGGGAGGGGGTGTCTGAAGCAACGGAAAGTAAACGTACATAGGTAGCCTTGGCCCCAGTTCTATCGTGAAAGGTCAGCATGACATATGACGTCATGCAAGAAGGTGGAGCTGTTCGTGTCATGAAACTATTTTTGTTTTACCTATTCCTTGGTACCAGTTTCATTCCAGTCTTTGGCTGGGAATTCGTTCTGCGTTATATTCTGCACCTAATTCTTAACATCCTGTTCGGAGGTGCGAACAATGAAAAATTAAACCGAGGACGTTTTAAACTACCGCCATCTGGGCAGCGTATGTATGTTTGTGTCATTAGAACCAATTCCTATCAGATTCTAACAGGAGTGTATATGACCACAAAACATCTTTCATTAAATCTCTACGGATAAAATAACACGTAAATGGATCTAAGAGGGCATGATGAACTCGCCTTGTCCATGATATAAATGTTCTTAAATGTAAACTCGCATTAACCATGGCAAACACCTAACCATAATTCAATGCATAAACAGGGTCACTATTTACCCACGATACCTTACATCTATAAGTTAAACCAAGAAACGCCATACCGTTGAGAAGTATAAACTACACACTAACTGTTTAGTGGGATAACTATTCACAGATCCGCATCACTAACAAATGGTATCTGACTATTCAACGTCTGCCGGTAGAGTTGATTTCTTGGTCTCTACACCCACGATAAGCATTCCAGCGCCATTGATTCCACAGCCAACATTACAACACAGACGTAGACCAGCAACATTCCAGCGCCATTGATTTGACAACCAGCATCACAAAACAAGCTGAGACCAGCAACATTCCTGCCTCATTGATTCCACCACCATCATTAAGAGACAGGCCGACTTGAGAGTTGCATCGATTTCATGATACAGGAACTGTTACCTAGGTATGTGACGTCAGGTCTATTTATAGCTGGCTACTGGCGACAGATCACGCGCAATTATCTATTCATCATACCGGTGTCAGATGACAGACAAATTGCTGGACTAGTCTATCCAACACACGATGCTGGACTAGTCTACCCAACACACGATGCTGGACTAGTCTATCCAACACACGATGCTGGACTAGTCTACCCAACACACGATGCTGGACTAGTCTACCCAACACACGATGCTGGACTAGTCTATCCAACACACAGATGACAGACCTGCTGGACTAGTCTACCCAACACACGATGCTGGATAGTCTACCCAACACACGATGCTGGACTAGTCTACCCAACACACGATGCTGGACTAGTCTATCCAACACACGATGCTGGACTAGTCTACCCAACACACGATGCTGGACTAGTCTACCCAACACACGATGCTGGACTAGTCTATCCAACACACAGATGACAGACCTGCTGGACTAGTCTACCCAACACACGATGCTGGATAGTCTACCCAACACACGATGCTGGACTAGTCTACCCAACACACGATGCTGGACTAGTCTATCCAACACACGATGCTGGACTAGTCTACTCAACACACGATGCTGGACTAGTCTACCCAACACACGATGCTGGACTAGTCTACCCAACACACGATGCTGGACTAGTCTACCCAACACACGATGCTGGACTAGTCTACCCAACACACGATGCTGGACTAGTCTATCCAACACACAGATGACAGACCTGCTGGACTAGTCTACCCAACACACGATGCTGGACTAGTCTACCCAACACACGATGCTGGACTAGTCTACCCAACACACAGATGCTGGACTAGTCTACCCAACACACGATGCTGGACTAGTCTACCCAACACACAGATGCTGGACTAGTCTACCCAACACACAGATGCTGGACTAGTCTACCCAACACACAGATGCTGGACTAGTCTACCCAACACACGATGCTGGACTAGTCTACCCAACACACGATGCTGGACTAGTCTATCCAACACACGATGCTGGACTAGTCTACCCAACACACGATGCTGGACTAGTCTACCCAACACACGATGCTGGACTAGTCTACCCAACACACGATGCTGGACTAGTCTATCCAACACACATATGACAGACAAGCTGCTGGACTAGGCCACCCAACACACAGATGACAGACCTGTTGTTAGACGAGGCTATCCAACAAACTAGTGACACGTTTTAAAGCTGTCAGACAAACTTACTTTTCTGCTCAGCATGTCAGGTATAAGTACTAGAAGCTTTATAATTCATGTTCCTTCTACTGTATCAGACTCACCGTTAAAAACCTCCCCCTAGTTGTATCTTTAACTGAGACAAACTTTCAAGGCGGCCGGCACCATTGATGGATGAGTGTGATGGTACCGGTAATCAATGTCGTCTTTATTTGATTTGATCTTTAATCCTGATCAAAACTATTCCACAAGCGTATCGCTAACCTATCCAAATGTGTCGGTTTGGTTAATAAAATACTCACCTCAATAGATATTAGTAGGGTAGACAGGTGACTCAGGTAACTAGGTGATACTTTATTTCTTTCCTTTGCTGCGGGTTATTTATTGTTATTTTTTTAATTAGCAAAACAACACACACGTTTTCTTAACCTCTACGCCAGTGCATGAGATTTTAGAGAAACAAAGCATTAGCTCTGCCATACATCAAAGCTATAACTATAAAGAATGTACGTACCATACTGTATTGTAGGCTACTGATAGATATGCGGGTGTATGTGTTCGATACATAGCCGTTAGGTTACAGCAGTAAACTAGAAACTAAATATAACGTGTTAATTTCAATGCTACATATAACCTTAAGCCAAGCCGGTCCATAGCACTAACCCTAATTTCTAACCCTACCACTAAACCTGGTATTACTAACTACCTCACACGCATGACGGCCAATAGTTGCACAAAAACTACGTATTACGTTCTTAACCAATTACCAGGGGGGGGGGAGGCGAAACCACGTGATAGGGTTAGACTAAATAACGGAAAGATACAAGAACACCAAAAAATTGTCGGGCTAAATTCCAGAAAAAAAATCGTAAGAAATGGTCAGGCCAAATACCCTAAAACACAAAACCATAAAAAAATTGTAAGACTAAATACCGAAAAACACAAGATTAAAGAAATGGCCAGGCCAAATACCCAGAAAAAAAAGAAGAGAGCACTATAAACTAACCCAAATGCTATGTGAGTATGTGTTCTTTAAGTGGATGAAAGATGCGTCATTTTTTTTTCAAGAATTCTTTGCACCTAGAGTTCCTAGTTGCCTCATCTTCAGGTAATTGTGTGTCACTTCTAGTTAAAGGGGTTCTCCTGGATTATAAAGGTCAAAGGGTAAACACGGCAGGTATTTGGGGTCGTGTTAGGCTCATGGAAAAGCAAGAGAAATATTTTAACGACTATACTTGAGTAACGTGTATCTTTCATATTCTCATATATATATATTTCTCTATACATCTATCCTGTGTAATAATTCATTTACAGTATCGTATAATATCTATTGTTGATAGCAGCTTAAAAAATATTCGTAAATAAATGTTATCGACTAGTATAACCTTGTTGTAGGTAAATGTTAAGGACGTCTTTAAAGGCTGTTTAAGGTCGTGTTGACCCCTTACATTTCTTGGCCTTGAATCACCCCCAGTCCCCCATAGACCAGGGCAGACAGTAACAACGCGTGTTGTTTCATGCAACTTTTCATTGTGAAGGAAAATTTGTTGATTTTATTTTTTGACCCTTGTGACGTTGTGTAAATACATGTACGTGTCCGCGTGAATGTAATTATGGCTCGTCTAATTTCACGTGGCACAGGGTTCTCACCTGGCAGATGAGGTAACCTGCCCAGGTGAGGTCACCTGCACAGGTGAGGTGTTCCACCTACACGCTCAAGCAGGTAAGAAAAGCTGGGTAGATAGGAGCCCCTCTACACAATGAGGCGGTTCAGGGGGCCCATCTATACAATAAAACGTTACACAAACACAACCGTTTTTTGTGAAGTCGAGCGAAGGTCCCTAATTAAAACCTAATAAAGTAATTAAGCTCAGGAATTTAGGCTTTTGTTTGAGTATGTTTCTTAAAACAAATGTACATGTTTCGTTAATCTGTGCTTATGTCTATTTAAAAAAACACAATTCAGATGCACACATAAGTGAAACGATATCTTAGTGCTTGTTTTAAAAGGATGGATTTTTAGGAAAAAAGAAATGAAGTGAATGGTTTCTCCAACAATTAACTAAATTGAAAAAGATCAAATTTTAAAATATCGGTTTTCAATTTAGAATTATTTTTTTTAAAAGTGACAATGAAATAGTTTGAACTTACCTGTCGTAAGTTAAAATAATGCACATGAACTTTCTTCCACAAATCTTTCGATTCTTTCACAGACATCCTTTGTGAATTAGGAAGAAAAAAAAGGGTGTGTCTCTTGCCCTAAGACCTTATATAAGGCCTGCCTTAAACGGCCGGACAAGTCTCCTTCTTCTGATCAGAAGTTAGTTTTCTCTTCAACAAAATACTTTTTTTAAAGAATCAACTGACCACTTAAGGTATACTTTTGAGTATAGAATGATCAGGTAACGCAGACAAGAATCACAGACCGTACAGAGAACTCGTGGTTAGCAGTGCCAATACCCGGTGTGTACACGGCGAAAAGCGCTCACGCAATGGAGCAAGTTCCGACCGGGCGGCGGGTTTTTAACGCCCGCGCGAGGCATCATGGGACTGGGGTAAGGCTGGGGTAGGGTGAGCTAGACGATGGAAACAATAGTTTGCGGTGATTGGGGTGGGAGGGTGGGTGGGGTGGGGGTGGGAGGATGTACAGAAGACAGGAGAAAATAGTAAAGTTTTCTTTTTATGAAAAAAATGTATGTATTGACAGTGTGGGGGTGGGGGTGGGGGGGTCTGATTTCTTAATCCAAGGAGAATCAAAGGTTAGAGCAGAAGAGATATGTTGAGGTGATCTCGAAACACGAGGCTTGTAATGATTGTAGAACAGGGGGAAATACCGGCTTGTAGTAATGGTAAAAGAAAAATGTGGGCTTTAGTGATGGTAAATAGAAAAACATGGGCTTTTAGTATGGTCAAAAAAGGAAAAAAAAACACAGGATTTTTGTGATGGTAAACGAGAGGCTGAGATAGAAAATGATACGTGGATGGACCAATGTTTCTTTCTGACTTTTTTCTCAGGGGGGGGGGGGGGGGGGGGAGGGGCACTTGAAACTTGGAGAGGGGGTAGGGGGCTGGCTAAATTGACTGGGGGAGGGCGTCCACTGGAAAAAAGTATATATTTTCTGTATAAATTAAATTTTGCTCAGGGGGCTTAGACGTGCTTCGAAGACCACCCCCCCCCCCCCCACACACACACACACCTCAAGAGATCCCTTAAAACAAACTATGGGATGGACAATTAAAAAAAGGGGTGAGGCTTTAATGCTAGGGAGTGGGTGTCGGCATTTGATAGATAAGACAGGTAACGTGCCGTTAAAGGAAACAGATACGTGTGGAGATCGATAACCAATAGAGTGAGCCGCCAGGTACCGTTGCAGACGATGCAAGCAGGTGATATGGACAGGCAAACATCGCTGATCGTGTGGCTGAATAGTCTTGATAAAACACCTGGAATAGAGAAACGAATAATTGACTTCACACCCAAGATTGCTTGTCGATGTTATTTTCTTCTAGTCTATATCAAGCTTATCATTTTCAACACAGGTTTGATGAAAAAAAAAAAATTATTTTTTCTAAAGCAAAAGATGCGGTTGTTTAGCTTTAAATAATAATGTACTTTCCAGAAGTTATTTTTAGCCTCTACATGGCCGACTAGACGCGGAGTTTTACTATGGCAACGAATACAGAGACATGCGCACTGGCTAGCAGTTTTACAGTGTTGACCGGCTTGGTGGCGAGTGAGGTATACACAGCCCATTGATTGGTTCCGCTTGGTGCCTGTCGTTTCATAGAGAATTGTTTCAGCATCGATTCGCTTCTCTGGAATGTTGGGTTTTTTATTTTTTTATTCTGGGTGATTGATTTTTATATTGATCTATGGGTTCGACCATGACTGGAATATAAAGCGCTGAATAGGCAGGGGCGGTAACTAGCGGTATACAACGGACTCGAAAGAGCTCAGAAATTTCTAGAAATAATATCGTATTCTTCATGCGTAGGAATTTATTTTTATTGTTCAAAGCAGGTATTAATTGTTCTAGTTGGTATTTTCTGCTCTAGCTGGTATTTAATGCTCAAGCTGGTATGCCTGAATGTCCTCCTATCCAGGTCGCTGGATTGTCTCCCCTCATCATAAGATGGGTTGGGTTGTCTCCCCGAATATCAGAATAAATTGTGTTCTGTTTTATCTCGGCATCAGATGATATATTTTGTTACAGTGTTATTAACACGTTCCCATGCATACTTTAAGGACCTGCTGTTGAATTCAACACTTGATATACTTACAAAAAATGTATTAGTATTTTTTAAAATGTTATACCTGTAACATTCTGTATAATTTAGTTACGTTATATAAGTATCTAGAGGTGATTTATCCAAAAAAATTTGAACTCAGACTTTAAAATATTTTTTCAAACTGCATTATTTTAAAAATAGTATCCGGTATGCAAATTAATTACCGCGCGTTTTTTAATGGTGTCATTAAAAACCCGTCGCTAATTGCGGAACTAAATCAGATTGCGGTCACGCAGTCAAATTTCCCATCAATCTTTCACGCAGGTCTGGTTGGCTGGGTGATTTAAAAAGGTCGGATAAAGCTGCGTTGGACTGTTGACAACACGCTGGTGTATGTTGATCACACTCTGGTGTATGTTGACCACATTCTGGTGTATGTTGATCACACTCTGGTGTATGTTGATCACACTCTGCTGTATGTTGATCACATTCTGGTGTATGTTGATCACATTCTGGTGTATGTTGATCACACTCTGGTGTATATTCCCCCTCTCTGTTAATTACTCGCTTGATTTTAATGCATTATTTAGAAAAAATAAATAAAGAATACGCTAGGTAGGTATAAATAAACACATGCGATGTTAGTTAGGGATACCTTGTTTGGTGGTAGAGGGTGGCTAGTGGGGGGGGGGGGGGTGCGGCCGCTCCGGGCACCGATGCTAGAGGGGGAGGGGGGCCAATCAGGGTAGGAAAAAAACATATTATGAATCGCGCTATTGAATTTTATGCAGTCGAAGTTAAGAAAATAGACTGCTACGTGGTACTTATTTTCCTCTTTCTTTCTTGATTTCTACATTCCAGATTGGGGTTGGGGGGCTTTTTGCCAACCTAAACGGGGTGGGGGGGTGATTATATTTCGCTCGAGCGCAGGAATGGATCATTATGATTCTGTTTGCTGGTCAATTTTTTTAAAAATAATGTTAGGCCTTATTATTGTTCATTACTTTAATTTATATTACGTTAATTCAAAACACCTGACCCAATGCGCTCGTCTGCTAGTTCTAACTTGTCTCGCCGAACTCGCGTCTTACGACATCCCAGAGTCTACACAGCTTTAATAGGTACCTGGCTTGTTTTGGGGAAATTAACAGCTCACTGGTGATTACACTATCTCTTCAAATATCGAAGTCAAGTCACAGGAACTCTACTTCACCTGTCAGGTAAATCCTCAGGTATGAAAGATTATCTTACTTTTTAATCCGGTAAGAAGGTGTGAAACACTGCGGTTATTTATAGAATAGACGTCTGATATGGATGCGAAACTCCAACTCAGTAATGTCATCTCGCTCCGTATGTGTTTATTTAACCTTTAGCATATCCGACCCCGCCCACAATGCACGCAGGCTGAGAGTTTTGTACACTCATCGTGGTCGTCCTGTCTTCACCTCATTTCTGGGAGAACAACCATACATACATACCATAATCATACTCACACATTCCATATTCCACACAAAGCACGTACTCACACTAACCACACGCCCAAAAAAAACACCACATACACACTATGCCCACACACATCTAATACCCCACATAAAGAATATGCTAATTCAAACCACATGCATAAGCAAACTACAAACCCTATACACGCCACATTCCCACACAGAAAAGATACCCACAAACCACTAACCACATTCACCACAAACTCCACATACCCGCACACACTACTAAAATTATACTTGCCACATAACCACACATACACCCCACACAATCACAGACATCGCACACAACCCCAATCCATTACTCCCACACATACCCAATAAAAAGACGTACCCACACGCCCCCCCCCCCCCCACCAGTCACCCCTCTCACCTCTGATATTTCACAAAGTACTTTCATCTGATCACCACAGACTATGCCTACCTGTGAATGGATCTGATCAGCCCCTGTCTAATGGTGGCTGGCATTCCAGGAGAGAGATCAATATTATTTCTAGTCGTCTGCTAATGTTATTATGGTCTACACAAGGCACGAGATTCTATTGCATATCGAACTCTAATCATACATATATATATATATATATATAGGCCTATATATATATATATATATATATATATATATATATATATATATATATATATATATATATATATATATATATATATATATATATATATATGTATATATTAACGATATATATATATATAAAAATATATATAAATATCTATAAATATATAGGCCTATATATATATATATATATATATATATATATATATATATATATATATATATTGTTATTGTAAATAACATTCAGCCTATTGGACTGGGGTGGGTGGGGGGGGGGGGGGCGGAAACACGCCGTTTTCTTTTTTTCAGACACAGTTTTTTTTTCATAAATGTCTTTTTAAAACAATGCTGCATAATTTTTATTCCACTTTCGTACTCTATCTGACATAAAAACTATTACCCAAACCACTACGGTCTACCCATCTAGCGAGTGAATCTATTCTAGTGGTGTGTCCCAAGAACCATCCAGTCACAGCGCCATCTAGCACAACTACCACTTCGTCAACCATCTTCGACCTACTCGATTCCTAATCAACTAATTAAACAGGTTATTTAATTACCTCAACTGACGAATAAAAAAATCTATCATGTGACTCGCTTAGCTTTTGGTACCTTTCATTACGTGACCGCATGGAATGTGGTGAAATTAGCCACGCATTAGTTTAATTAAAAATCTCATTAGCGTAATTAAGAAATTCGATGGCTTATCATTTTGTTGCAGCTGTTAAACATGAACGTAAATTTGAAAACCAAAACCTTGATTTACATTTTAATTTACACTTTGATAACACCATGAGCTGTTCAATCAAGCTTTGGTCATGTAATGACGTTTGGAACTCAAAAACAATTCGTGGCAGGTTTTTATGGGGGTGAGGTGACCTAGACATAGAATAGGTCAGAGGGATGTGAATGGCACCGTGCCTAGACGACTTAATAATTAACCCACGTGATGCGGGCTTTGATCGACCACACAACAGGAACAATACAATGGAGCTGCCAATCGATAACTTTGACAGGGAAATCAATAAGCTTTCGGTGTAGTGATCAAAAATCAATTAGCGGAGATTTTTTTTAAATATGTTGTTTTACGTTGTTTTGTTCGTAGTCAGGTCAAATTGTTTTCTCATAAGAGCGACCTCCTAGTAGGGGTCACGATGTTTTTTGCAGGTTGTAATATAGTGAGACTTGTGAAGT